TTGGGAAAAGATGGAAGATGAGGGGGTGGACAGGAATTTCAAAGCTCACATAGAGAAGAGATGGAATTAGCCTTGTTTAAAACATTGGTGACGACAGAACTTTACACCCACTTTCTATTTATAAATATCCCTGTCTCTCAGGCTGGCTCCTCCTGCACAGGCTTCAGGGGAGGATAACAGGCAGCGAGAGCAGCTGCTAGTGAGAGACAGATGTAGGCTGTGGGAGGGGAATTGGGACCACCTGGCTTGGGCTCGGGGTGTAGACTGAGTCTTCAGAAACTTGGGTCAGGACGTAGCACCAAGTCCTTTGTGGGAAGCCTGTGGGACAGAGAAACAGTGGCTGCCCTGGGAGCCCCCATCATGCAAAGTGCCAGCTTTATCTGCTGCCGGCTGCCCTGTGCTGGTGGCAGGCAGAGGAGATAAAGGCTGTGGGAACAGTGAGCGGAGGTGACGCATCAGGTGGTGTGGATGGAGATGTTGAATTCAAGGGGATTCCTGAGAATCCAGCAGTGACTTCTGAGAAGCAGAGGGGCAGAAAGGACTCAAGTTACGCCAGGGTCCTTAGCTTGGGACACGGTTGCCAGGGTGTTTGACAGTCTGAGGCAGGCGCCACCACAGGTTTGGGGTGTGGGGAAATGTTGTGCAGTTCCAGGATCCTGAGGATAGCGATTCATTCAACAAACATTTCCTGTGCGCCTGAGGCACTGTTCTGAGGCAGATAAAGCCCTAATGGGGAGGACTGGCAGAGAGGAGATTCCACTTGCCCTCAGTGCGTGAGCTTTCACTAATTTGATAACCTTGCCATATTATCTCTACGTGTTGTCTCTCCCCTCCTACATCTTCAATATAAGCTACTTACATCTGCTCCTTACTGACAGTCACTGCACTAAATACTCCAGTAAGAGTATTATTCTCACTTTAGACAGGAGCTGGCACTTGCCAGAGGTCCCATGCAAGTAACTGCTCTTAAGGGAGCTAGAAGTTGCTGCGACCTCCCGGTCTCCTGGGATGCTAAGTATGTCAGAAACCCAGCCACTACCTGGGGTCTTTCTTGAGTTACCCCACTGTTTGGCTTCAAATCCTATGCCATCCAATGCCTGTGCCAGCCACCAGAGCATGATGGGCCTTTTCAGCATGAGGGCTATGCTATTTTATGTTTGGCTCCATTTGTTTCTCCTCCCAGCATTTGTTTTCCTTCTTACACTGCTTGCCTCTTGGGGCAGGGAGTGCCCTGGAGACCCAGAGGCCCCTTGCACCCACCCCAGCCCAGGACTGCAGGCCCGCAACACTCAGTAACTGGCAGCTGCACTATCTAAGTGTGGGCCCTGGAGGGGGACGATTGGCATGATATCCCTTATTCTGTGGGAATGAGCAGGCTGAAGTGAGATACAGTTCTCGTTTCTGTTTTCACCCTCCTTTTTGTTTCCAGCCAAAGCACATTCTCATCAGTCTTTCAGATGCCAAGTAGGCATGGCCCCAGCCTGGCCAGAAAGAGCAGAGGTACAGTTGTTTCTTGTCCTTATTTAATCTCTGGTTCCTTGAACTACCATTTGGAAACGAACTGCAACACCAGATAGATTATCCATGGGAATCCAGAGAAAGGTCCTTTTTTTTGGCTGCCTCAGGGAGATGAGGTTGGTGCTAGACAACTCTTATCCACTGTCACCTTGGAGACTTTTGGAGGGGGGCAAGCCTGGTTTCCACTCCCTCTCTGTAAGGTGAAAGGCACCTCCAGTTCATGTCTCCCACTTCTTTGCACTCTGAAACACTGGTCTTTAAACACATTCAGGTGCATGGCATTGATCTGAATCTATTTGAAAACATATTTTGCAGTAAGTTAGTTCCAGAGATATTATGGTTTTTAATATAAAACCTGCCTAACTGGTCTCAGACAGGAGGTTGGGGCCTGGATTGGAGAGGAACCCACATATGAGACCATAAGAAGTCTTTAAGACTTCATGGCCACAGAGAGGACATGAGGATAGGTTGGTACAGTTTGTGTGTGTTGGGGGGGAGGGGGGAGGGATATAACTTGAGTGCTTCCGGAGAGGCCTCCCCAAGACTTCTCTTAAGGCAGCCAATAGACAAGGAAAGGAACTCATATGGACAAAGCTGGATAGATGGACAATACTCAGATTAGAAAATTAATCCCCGTTGCTGTGAAAGATATTGATGGCATTTTTGGGGTTGGTGGCCAAGATTTTTATTTGCAATGTTCTTTCAAGGTCAAAAAGCAGAGTGCAGCATCCTGACACTCCGAATATAGACAATGAGGGAATCAATAGAGGGTTAAAAATGGTAAGGCTAACATCTATGTAAAGGAAAATCTATTTTTGTCTACTTTTAAAGACAGTAAGTCCCCCAAATACGAATTACTGTGGCACTTAGGGAGGTAGCATGAATGAACCCACCCAATATACAAGGATGTTCTAGAACAATCCAAAAGAGCTAACACATAAGTCAATTTCCAGAAATGCTATCCTCCAAATGCAGGTCCATTTGGATTGCCAGCATCTCAAGGAATAAGCCCTTACCCTAGAGCAACTTAGCTTCCCATTCGCATAAACCTAGACAACTAGAAAAGTAATGGCACCTGTTCCTGTTTTCAATTGCTTCACTCATTTACCATTTTGCGGAGGGAAGTATGCGGCCATTCTACCCGCCACTCTGCGGGGGTCTGTTCTTTCTTTCACTGCTTTGACTAAAATGCAAGGTTCTTTTCCTCAGATGGATGAATTATATATCACCTGGCTCATGGGCTACATTTTTTCCTCAGCAATACAGAGTCTGCATGAAGCATAAATATGCCTTGGAGTCCAAGACTCATTTTGCATCCAGCTCTAAAACTTACCACATAATTTTAAATGAGTAAACAATCCGAGTCTCAGTACCCACTGAGACTGAGAGTGGGTACACTCTACCAAAAGTTACAACATACACAACAGATTTGGCAGCCACTGTCCCCAGTGTCTGTTCTCTCTTCCTTCTCCCCCACCTGTCATGATACTTAAACTGAACTTCTTATATTGCTACTTTACTTTCCTGTAAAACCCAGTAGGCCTGTTTTAAATCATAGATTAAAGAATGGCACTGGTGTGTAAACCCTGAACTTGGTGCTAGATGTACTTTGCATTTTATCAGCTTAGTTTGTACTATAATCATGAGCCTTGGTGAGCGGAGTTTGAAGGCAAAGTCCTCATCCTGCTGGGAGGTCGACACTTCACAAAGTGATGGCACTCGACATGAATCCTAACTACGTATGAAAAATTTCAATGGGGAGGGGAAAAGGACTTTTTTAGAGTAAGAAGTTATAGCAATGCCAAAGTGTGTTTAGGAAACAGTAAGAAACTGGGATATAAGGCTTCTGTTTAAAATTTCCTTCACCCTAAGGTTCCTTTTATACGCTACTGTTCTTACAACTATTACCAAACAACTATTACCCTATTACCAAGAGTCTAAGAAGCCTCACATTCTTTTCTTCCATCAAGGCTCATGAACATCAGACTCCGGAGGGAGGGGATAAACAGCACCTGGAGCAGCCCCAAGGTCGGCCACTTGTCATTTGCACAAGTAGTTTCCTACCAGGCGATCCTCAGCTAAATTTGTATTTATGCTTACAATGAAGCCAGCTCATTTTTTGCATGTGGATTTCAAAGAGTACCTACCTGTATTTGTAGCCTCTGAATAAACTTCTGATTTTTGCTTATGTTAATCGTTTATAAAATCTGATGGAGGGCCACTGGTATAGGACCTATAGCTTGGATGCAGTAAGACTGCCTGGATGAGGACTTGAACATTACAAAGCCTGGGTGAATTTTCAGCAGCCCAACTTGCGTGGGTAAAAACCGAAGCCTTGGCGCCCTCTGGTGGCAGGCTGTTCTTCACAGACAAGCTTCTCAACTAGGAATAAGCAGGCGTGTAAGAGCACAGAAGCCACAGGATAATAAACATGGCACATTCTCCTAGATCATCTTTACTTGAAGATTTCTTTTTTAGGGGGAGGGAGTAGGTAAAACATTTTACTATTAAAACAATTGCAGACAATATTAAATAGAATATAAAATTTACATTACTTTTTGAGACAAAGTAAGAGACATCAAATACATTTCGTTAAGCTGCGGGGAGCTGCAGGCTGCATTCCTTAACCATGGGGCGGGAGGACACCTCTGTGTGCTCACTGTCCTGGGAGCTGCTGCTTCAGTAGATGTCTGAGTGCAAATCAAGTGCTTTCTGCCTAGAGGATTATTTTTAACTAAGTGAATCCATACACTTTCTCATTTGAGAACATTTTAGCCTGCTTTTTAGAGGCCTGAGTAGTTTTATGCTTGAGTTGATTTTATTTCCTCTTAGTGATTTCTATTCCGACATATAAGATATCGCTAACATGCCTAAGGGTATGACGTGCGAGGTGGTCTCTATCCTAAGAGCCTTGTGGAGTTCAGTCTGCGTCACCACATAGGAAATTACTTTCCAAGGGCATCCATAGGAATGGAAAAACAAATTACTCACCTGCAATAACAACAAAAAGAAACAAAACAGAACCCGGAAGAACAAGAGCAATCAGACAGAGCAGTGTGACGACAGAGCGGAGACACTGGCAGACTGAGCGCTCGGAGGCGGGGCTGCTGCTGCAGCCGTTCTGCTTATCATCTTTTATATGTCAAATTTCTTCTGGGGAAAAAAGCCATCATCTTGCTTTGCTATAGCTTGCTTCCTCTCTATAATTGTCCTTGTGTTGATGGCAACAATTTACTATTTTACAATGGACTCAAGGTGTGGATGCCTCCTGCAGAGTTTTCTAGGGTAATGTAGCAATGCTTTGTCCTCTTTCTGAAGTATGAGACACAAGGTTAATCAAATGTCACTGAGCAGCATATACTGGAGGATGTTGAATTTTTAGGGTCTATTGAAGAAAGGGTAATTCATAACCTCCCTGGGACACAATTTGCTTTATTCATTTTCTTAGGTTTTACAGAATTATTTCTCTTCTTGGGATTGTACTCTTCATTTTACAAAGCTTTAAAATGAGACTCAAAGCACATGGCAACTTGCTTGCCCATTTAGGGAAAAATGTAAATTTTCTTTTTGTTTAAGTTAAATAGAGTCTGGAGCAAAAATATCCCATTTCAGAATGACCCAAGGGGAAATATCAGTAGTAAATTATGCTACATTGGGAAAAAGAACACAAAAGGCAGACACCAAACACCTCCATTTTCCCAAGATTAAATGATTATTAAAAAAGCGCGCCACACTGTATATAAATCAACATTCTCTCCCATAATTCTGTGCATCTGGGACTATAGAAATGTCACTGTCCCTGTCCCACATCTTCAAATTAACATTCTCAGGTCACAACAGTAAGTCTTCCCAAAGGGAACTTTCCGGAAAAACAAGCTATTTCCTCGGCTCATATTTCCCTGGAGGGAAAAAAAATAAATTAATACAAATAAAACCTAACCTGTTCAAATTAGATACAAGTGGACATGCTCCTGGGAAACATGATGAAATAAATAGGACAAAACTGAGACTCAGTACAGAATAGCAATTTGCATTCTTTGATTCAGGCAGAGCTCTCTAAGAACGAACCACAATTTTGTTTCATGGATAAGGCAAAAATTTCTTCCAGAACGCCAGTTTGGATTCTGGATCTGCCATTTGCTAGCCAGGTTATTAAGTGAGTCAATATATGTAAAGTTCTACAACAGCCCTAAATTCAGTAAATGCTAGCTTTTATCTATCTTTCAGTGAAATGGTGAGAGATGTCAGGAGCACCTGCAAAACCTCATAAATAGTGATGTGCACTGACGAGCAGACGCTGAAGGCAGACAGCCCTGCTTGGATGTCACTCTCCCAAACACCAGTGTGTGTGACCCTAGGTTATATGACTGATGTTATCTAAGTATATGAAACCCCAGTTTCTCCATATGTGACATGGGATACTAAAGAAAGGTACCCATCCTCACTTACTCTGAGCTAGTATATGGAAACCTCAGAGCATGGTGCCTGCAATAGTGATTGCTTAGTGAGGTGTCTGATACTCTGATATACTTGCTGTTTCTTTTCCACAGTGGGAGGTTACTTAGAAAGGAAGGAAAGAAGGGCCATCTTTCCTTTCAAATGAGGCCCATAATGGGAGACTGTCCATTTAGAGTGTAAAGCACAGAGTGAAAGCCAGAGTGCTCATGTTAGATCTCAGAGGAATGGCTCGAGCATCCCCGCCTGGATTCAGATGGGCTTGCTGGTAACGTGGGCTGAGCAAAAGCAGCCACAACAGCACTTAGGCTTTTCTATTCAGAGCACAGACTGTGGAACTGAGCCCTGAGACAAGTCACTAATGCTGTAATAAAGCACAGCAGAGAGCGTCTTCATATACTTCTACTATCCTTTAAAAAAGTGCTTCCCGGGCTCTCCCTGGTGGCGCAATAGGTTAAAGCACATTATGAAGCTCTCCAAAGCCACTACAGCACAATCCCTGCCAGGGAGCTGAACCACATGGCATAGCAGAGAGCTTTCCTGGCCTACCCGCTGCTCTCCTCAGCAGTGTACTTTGTCAATTTGCCTGTTCTGCTCCCCACTCTGTCTCTGGTGATGCCTCTCACCCACCACACTTCTGGTCTGTACCTCAGTTCTGTGTGCATAAATTAAATAAATCTTAAAAAAAATAAAAAAAGTGCTTCCTACTAAGAAATGGCTTTCACCTGATGGCCATTTAAAGTGACTGTGTTCAATTTAGCACACAGTCCCATCCGTTACTTTGGCTCCTACTAAAATCTAGGCTGAAAAAGAATCTTTGGTTGCACATGATATCACTTATTCAAGTCTGGATAAAACAATCCACTAAGGGAGACTGCAGAAGATATCACCTCTACCAACTTCATTGTGACACACAGTATCATAAATATACAACTTCTCATTTCCCGACTTCTCATCTGTACTATGGGAAAATATCTATATGAGGAAATTCTGAAGAGTTGTAAAAAGGTGAATTTGAAAAAATATAATATGAAATTATGGCCATCACCTGAATTACCAAACTCTAATTCAAGTGTGATCACTCAAGGCATCTAGGTCACCTCTAGGGATGATTCCTAAGCAGTACATTTTACCACTGTGCCAGAATGACACATGGAATGTTGTAAAGGGTACATGACTGTTAGCTGAAGGGTAAGTGACAAGAGTTAATATGGAGTTCCAAAGATGCTAATAAAAATAAAATGAAATGTGAAACAGAAAAAGCAGGGAAGGAAAGGAAGGAGACAGAACAAGAGCGAAATACCTCTTTTTGTAGCATACACCAGCAATCTATCCAAGAAGTATATATTGGGGAGTAAGGAGGGCACCCACCAGCAAGCCTGAAAAAGGCAAAATGTCTTGGTTTTAAAATCGTGAACATAATTGTGAAAGTCAGGAACATTACAATTATATGACTAAAAAGCAGAGAAGAGATTTAAAAACTAAGCAGTGTTCAAAAGAATATGATAATGGACACGAACAGATATAAGTCACTACACCTCCACAAAAAATAAAAAGACCAATAATTCATTTGACTCGCCTTTCACATAAGTTCTGAGCTAAAATGTGGCAGCTGCTCTACAAATCACAAAAAACATTTGAATGAAACATGATACGAAACACAATATCTGCACTCCAAACTCTACACAGCTTTCTATTTGATGGCAGTAACAATCTAAGGGTACAGTGTGTCAGGGACTGTTCAGGGACAGTGTTTTGAATTAAGTCACACGTAAAACCTCTTTCAAGTTAGTAGGGTCACTTGTCATGTTGGACATCAGTGGTGTCCACACCATTACCCACCTCCCCAACCCATACAGTGAAAAGGAAGAGGCTTCCATGGACCAGATTTCCTACTTCTCTGTCTTTAAGACTCCTCCTCCAAGAAGCCCTTGGAAAAACAGGCAGACTGTCATTCAACCCCTGAAACACCTTTGTAACTTTCACAAAAGAGAATAAAAATTTACCCATGGTGATTACAACTGAGATAGAAAAAAGCACAAAATGATGTAAAAATAAACAATTATATTATTAAAAATAATAATAAAAAAAAGTAAGGTAGTAAGGTAGCTGCTTATGATATAAATAGCTGCTGCTGCGGCACGGGGCACGTAGGAAAGCTCGTAAGAGCAGCACTCCTCCCCAACTTACTTTCTTTTTTTTTAACATTGTAGAAGACAGGTTTATTAGGAAAAGGGAAAGAAAAATAGAGCAACTGCACAGTCACAGGCAGGCAGGAAAGCTGCTCTCCCCCAGTCTCTACCAGGCCTGCTCTGCCTCTTGGGCTTACAGTCAACCCCTGGAAGAGATGCAACGTACTTACCCACAGTTGTTGACAGCCATGAGATTAGAGACAAGCACAAAGGGATAGGTCAACATACTGGCAAAAAACTGCAAAATGGTAAAAAGACAGCTAAGTTATTAGGTCATTCTAGGTTTTGTTCTCTTTCCTTTCTCTTAGTCAAAGATCTAGTGCCACTGTGGTCAAATTCTCCAGTGCTGGTTTGCTCTGAGTATACCGGGAAAGACTATAGATTATACATCTTTGAGCCTAGAGGTGCTTCTTCCTATTAACATACCACTATACCCACTCTTTGAACAAAAGGCCAGAGACTTCTCTTCTGTGATTGAATACTCATATAAAACTAAACTACATTATTTAAGAGAATAAGCAAATACAACTAAACACAACAAAGTCTTTCAAAATGCCCCAAAGAAGAAAAAATGAGAATCCCTCCTAAGACAATGGAAAGTACTTTAGAAGTCAAATACTCCAAGACTCCATATGACTGGATAGTGAACTTCTTGAGGGGAGGATAAGCTGAGAAGCAGGCCAGACTGCAGAGGGCAGAGCTGTGGTGAGAAGTGCCCACAGGGCCTCCCTGGTGGCGCAACATGTTAAAACGCAGCACCATGAAGCTATTCGCAGCTACTGCAGCATGAGCTCATCCCCAGGCAGGGGTGACCAACATGGTGCGCATTCTCCCTCACCTGTCCTGCCCACTGCTCCCCTAAGCAGTGTATTTCGGTCAATCTGCCTGTTTTGTTCCCCACCCTGTCGCCCCCGTACATCTGGCCTGTTCCCGAGTTGTTGGATGCATAAATAATGTATTGAAAGAGAAAATGTGCCCACAAACCCCTTCTGAAAGCTGAACAGCACTAACCATGTGGACTCATCATTACTCTTACTGTGATGTGTGAATTCTAGGTTAGCCCCACCTCTAACACGCATTAATGAATCTGAGAGGCCTTCCTGAGACATCTGGTTGGTTTAAGGCAGTGATAACACAGGTCAAGTCTAAAAGAAATTAAGCACAACTATTCCTAGAAGGTTAGGAGAATTTGAAAACTCACTCCTGTGACAGCTTGGGAATAACTCTTCATCTCATTCATGGTAGAAACCTAAAATATGAAAAGGTTTTTATTAGAATGAGTAAGAAAACTAAATCAATAGTAACAGCTATTGTCCCCAACTATATCAACAGAATCTGCAAATTATAAGTCTGACAACTTAAAATGAACTTAAGAGGATGAGAACATAAAATACTGAGTATAAGCATAAAAAGGCAGGAGGAAAAATGGTAAATTCCTCACTTCGGTAAGATGGCTTAGAAACAAATGTAGTGGCTTCAGGCAGCAGTCCTCCTGCCCACCTGTGCCCCTGCAGCTGCTCCTTGCACCAACTGTCTGTCCCTCTGCAGGGCAGCAGCCTCCTGCCTGCCCATGACCTGTCCCCTGACGCAGCTTCTGCTCACTGAGCAGCCCCAGCAGAGGCCACTCTCCTCAAGGCCACATAACTGCCACCATGCAGGCCTCTCAGCAAATCTGTCCCTCTCGGGACAGCACTTTTCTGCCGCTGGGTCTATCCAAGTGCCCTGTGTGCTTCTCTCCCTTTATAATAAATCTATCCTTTATGATATAATCTAAAAAAAAAAAAAAAAAAGTAATAGCTTCAGGATTTTGGAGAAAAAAAAAAAACCAAGATTGGCAACTGTCCCTCTAGCTCTACAAATACAATCCTTGCATAACTACCTTTATAGACTGTGTGAGGGACAAGTCATTTAACTAGGTGTGAGCAGACAATGTGGAAAAAAATCAGCCCCCATACTCATAGAGCTTACAATCTGGATTTAGTCCTACCCCTGGGTGTGTTCTATGGGGTTGCCCACGTACAAAGAGGCCTACAGTTGCCAAGGCAGGAAAACATCACTCCTAGGAAAGGCTGGTTCTTAAAACTTCCCAGGACTGAGAGTTTACAGGTCTTCCATTAGCACATAAAATCAGACACCACACCCTGAAATTGTCATGCTTCATGGTAGCTTCTAAAATCAGGTATGAATAAAGAAGTAGTCTCCTATAGCCCAGAGATAGTGTTTGAGCGCTTGGTCTTACCCTGCACACATTTGGGATTTTGTCCATGCATCTCTCTATGGTAAACAGTATGGAAATTTGACTGCTAATGCTTAACAATATAATGAGCCGGGAACATGATAAACTGCCATCAAAGTAAAGCTAACCTAGTGCCAGATGAGTACAATAAAATCAGCACCTGCATGTCTCAAGGGCATAACCTACCCCACTGTCCAGTGCATAGGTATTGACGAGGTAGGCCAGTGAGTTACAGAGCCACAAAGAAATGATGTCACCTAGGAGGCGAGGAATAAGACCCCTACACAAGGAAACAAAAATAAGAACCAAGACCTGTGATCAGTAAAGAGAAAATCCACTCCATACAAACACTTCGTAAAGAATTAGAAATTTCAAAACAGTCTATGAAACTGAAGATATCGAGTGCCAAAATGTAGCCCTCATAACTAGTTCATTCAGTCAATACAATTGTACTTGAAGCCGAGCATTAGCTAATGACTTGTATTCCTTTTTTTTTTTTTAAAGGTTTACTTTATTTTAGCATAGAAGAACTAAGGTGCAGGCCAAAGGTTTTGTGTGTGTGTGTGTGTGTGTGTGTGTATTTACCAGGGACAGAACTGGGGAGCAGAACAGACAGACCTCCTGAAACACACTGCTGAGGGGAGCACTGGATGAGATAGGTGAGGTCTGCTGCGTCATGCGGGTCGGCTTCTTGGCTGGGGATCGAAATCGTGCTGCAGTGGCTGGTGAGAGTTTGAGAGGGCTGTGCCACCAGGGAGGTCCTCATTCCCATTTTTTAAATGCAAGTCAGCTATCTTCTCTAGTATGGCAAGGGGCTCACCTTACTGTTGGTCACTAAGCAAGAAGGCCAAAAACTTGGCTACTGTGCAGAAGAGACTTAAATATGGTTGTTATTAAATTATTTGACATTTCGGAATGATGAAGGAAATAATAAAATAATGACGCAGATACAAATATAATAAGAAACATGCAAAACCATGTTTCCAGGGCCGGGTGATCTAGGCAAGGCAGCAGGGAACAGTGGAACAATCCCCACCACTATGACCAGGGTTCAAATGCCACTCCTATCACCCATCAGCTAGGTGACAGGCAGCCAATGACCTTGCCAGAGCATTTGTTTCTTTTGTAATCTCTAAAATGAGAATAACAGTAACTGTTTCGCTTATGTCTCAGAGTATCGGTGATAAGACTAAATCAATTACGTGGAATTTAAAAGCTATTGTTTAGTGAACAATAGCTTCTGTTGTTCTGATTTCTTCTTAAATACATTCAAGAGAATGAATGCAAAAACGTCAGGAAGAAAAAATGCAGCAGATATTTTTCTATTTTTCAAAATCTAAAACTTGGGATCAACTTATTTATTAAAAAAACAAACAAATTGGACCTCCCTGGTGGTGCAATGGGTTAAGTTGCAGCATTATGAAGTTATCTGCAGCCACTGCAGTATGAGTTCAATCCCGTATATGGTGCAGCAGACGTCTCCTGTCTTGTTCGCTGCTCCCCTTGGCAGTGTGTTTCAGTCAATCTGCCTGTTCTGCTCCCCACTGTCTCTGGTGAATCCTCTCATCCCACGCTCCTCAGGCCTGTACCCCATCTCTTGTAGGTATAAATAAATAAATCATTAATAAACAAACACAACAAAATCTTCATTTCAAGTATTTTACATGTGAGAAGCAAAAGTTTGGGGTCTTTTACAAGAGCACTGAAATCAGAGGGTCCTAACAGTGCTTAAGATAAAGTAAACCCAAAGTATACATTTTCCCAGGAGTTAGAACAGAATCATGTCCTTATTCTCAGCAAAGCTTCCTAATCAGACCAAAATTACATACACACAAACCAAATATTTACTCACGCAAAAAATCCTAGGATGCCCTCTTCCCGGTAGATAGTTGCTATGGAGTCACAAAGTCCACTAAGGTACAGAAGAAGGGAAGGTAAAATACATTAAGATGATTGTGAAGGTTTTTTAAATTAAATTATCACTTTGCTATGGTCAAGTTTATACCTACTCTCCCTTGTTCCACCCCCTCACACTACAGAGTTGAATTTGGAGAGAAAAGTGGAGAAGTCACTGACATGGAGTCAGGATGATTTCAGAACTGGTGGTTCTGCAACTTACTCTGAGAACCTCCTGAATCTACCTGTGTCCATTCACTTCTGATTTACTGGTGTGTGTATGTGCACATGCACACAGATGACATTACGTAAGATACAGGAATCTTTCCTGCAAACTCTCAGGCATCACCAAAAGGTATAACAGTGTCTGTTATTCTAATACTTTGGCTTAAACAGCTCTCCCTAAATACCTGGAAACAACAACACTTACCAGTACTTGGATTCTCTGCCAATGAATTGTACCATAGATCTCAGCGTGATCACTACAGAACACAGAGAAAAGACTTGTAAAATTTCATCAAGCTCAGGGCCTCCCTGGTGGCACAGGGTCAAAGACAGCGATATCAAGCTGCCACCAGCAACTGCAGCATGAGTTCAATTCCCAGCCGGCCAGGGAGCTGACCCACATGGCGCAGCAGACCTCTCCTGTCTCACGCACTGCTCGCCTTAGCAGTGTATTTCAGTAGTTCTGTTTTGCTCCCTGCTGTATTTCTGGTGAATCCTCTCACCTCTCCCACACCTCTGGACTAAACCCCAGTTCTTGTATATATAAATAAATAAATCTTCAAAAAATAAATAAGACTACATCAAGATCAATTTTGATAGTCTTGAGGAGGAGAAAAAAGTTTTTTCTACCTGAAGATACTTTGCTATCTGGATAAGCTGGATGAAAGCCAAAACTAGCAAACAAAAACAAAAAAATTTAGGAAAGGCACTTAAATGCATGTCCACATCAACCTATTTAAGGGGACAAGAGACCAAGTTATAAAAGAAATATAGTAAAACTGATTATTTCAGTTATCAGCTGTCAACGTACCATGGAAGGGATGTGTGATGAGGGTAGCAGCAGAACGGGCCATCATCTCTCGCGTAGTCTAGAAACAATCAACACACACTTCTTCACACACATGACACTCAAATTCCTGTAAGCAGCAATGAGGGTGACATTGCTGAGTAAGAGGGAGCCATACAGCGCTCCTGCCCTGCGGTTAGGATGCAGGAACGTGCTGTCATTTTACCGGCTTCTGCACTTGTGGGTTTCAACATTCTGTTATAGCTACGTCTCAAAATTTCTCTGCAGAACATATTTCTGTTGTCCTTTCAATTTAACAGATATGAGAAACAGAAGCAGGGCCCTCCCTGGTAGTGCAATGAGTTAAAGCACAGCACTATGAAGCTAGATGCAGCAGCTTCAGCACAACTTCAAGTCCAGGCAGGGAGGTGACCCACAGGGTGCAGCAGACCTCCTCTGTCTTGCCCACTGCTCACCTCAGCAGTGTATTTTAGTTGATCTGCCTGTTCTGTTCCCCACTCTATATCTGGTGAATAATCTCACTCCTCAAATTTCTGGTTTGTATATATAAATAAATAAATCTTTAAAAAAAATCACAGTTCTTGGACGTGGCTGTAAATGTCAGAGGTCTGTTACTCTTTTTGCTTGTAAACATTATCTTCAGTTACTCATTTAATACATCCCTCACCCTCTATTCCAATGGTTCTAAGAAGACCCTGTGGGACAGGGTCTAACCACAGTTAGGGAAATACAAAACGCATATAATACAGACATTTCTACTTCATGAAACTTAAGAGAAAATAAAGTTAATTCATCTGACCTACAGAAATAACTTGTTTGGGGATGGATATTTCAGAAGGTAGCAATTACTGGGAAATTGTGACGTTGTTATAGACAATTAGACTAAGAAATTAAGAATTAGTTCTGAAAGTGGTAAATATTACATTAGGCATAAAGTAAACTCCTATGGCAAGAGACAGGTATGTAAAATGGGTGATAAAGGCATTCTACATCCAGAACAACATAAAAGCATTTCTGAATACACAATATTTAACAAAGACACTAGCCACACTATTTTAACATGTTTGTGCCAGAGATTTTCAACTTTATCAGAAGACTTTTAGTAGAAATCGCTTTAATTTTAAAGGTGAAACGAGTAGTCAAAATTAGTTTCCTTAAAATACAAAATCCCAAACAGCAGGCAACAGCTCTTTTTCTTATGTTATACATGTAATAAAGCCCAAATCAAAATGAAGGTTTCATTTCATTTCAAACAGACATTGAAGACACTAGGCCTGATGATCCTGATTTTAAAACCGCTCCACTGTATATTCTGATTTAGGGAAACAGCACAGGATATTATTCAGTCCTTACCTCCTTGATAACTCGGTCAAAGCAAAATGAAACTTCTTTCTGTGCATTTCCAGGTCCTGACTCCTAGAAATCAAAATCAAAGAAGACAGGTATCTTGAAGGTTATAAATAGGACTATTCAAATTGTGGCCACCCTGTATGCCAACACTCACTGAGATGAAAGGGAAAATGAGTGCTTGTCCCTTACAAGGGACATGGCCCAGGCATAGAAACTGGTTCCAACCTACCTCAACCTTATCACAGTCCTGGTAATGCTGCAAAGGAAGAGAAAAAAGAAAAGGATGATTAAGGTTAAGATAATTTCTCTAGAAGACATAAAATGAAAACACTATTTGTAGAAAACAAAAGTCAATAGCTGATTTTCTTTCTTTTTCTTGCAACAAAGCTCCAGTTTACTTCTAATTAATCAAAAGGAAATAAATGTCTTAAAGTAACCTTGTTTTAAGGCTAACATAATGGTCAGTTGGGGTAACCAGGAAATGCTCATGAAAACTTTAAGGAAAATCAAACAAAATCCAGAACATTATTTTCTAAACATTCCTGTTTAACAGAAAATAAGCTAGTAAAAACAAAGCCTAGGGTTTCTAATCTTGTGGAAATCACAGGACCAATTCCAAATAGGGCAAGTCTCTTTTCTTCACTGTACAAAAGAACAGAGAATTGGTGCTGAGTCTGAATAGCTAAAGTTGCCTGACTTTTCTTTTCTGTTTCTGAAATGACTTTTTTTTTTCCTAGAGAAGAGAACATGAATACCAAAAGAGCCTAGATTAAACTGGAAGAGGAAATATTATTTGTGGGTTAATTTAAAAAAACAGGAGATGGGCAGTGTATAAATAAAAGAATCAGAAAATTGAGTACTAGTTGTACTAGATTTAAAAAAGAAATACTTTTCTTCTTTTTGGTAAAAAGAATTATGCTATAAAAAAACATCAGCAAAAGATCATCAAGGTAAGCCAAGTAAAATGGTGTTTTTGGTCACATTTCAACCGTTATCACTGCAACTCAAAGGTTAGAATTCTAATAGGTTCAGATGTTTTAAAATGTTACATTCATTTCTAAGAAAATCATAGAAGGAAAAAAAAACAATCTCTACACTTTCATTCCCCTAATGGAATTGTCTTCTCCTGTTCGTTATTCTGAATAGATTTCAATTTAATTCTTATGCAGATATACAGAAATCTTCTAAATGTTAACCATTTCATCAACCCTGAATTCGACTTTTTTTTTGTATAAGTTACTTATTTACTTATTTTCTTATTTCCTTCATGATGTGTTCCTCTAGGCCTCTCATTGTTCTGCACAGAGACACTGAGCAATTCTTTATCACTCTGCCTCACACTGTAATGAAACACTTGGTCAAGGAATGTCAAATGTGTCTTATTTTTCCTTTATGTAAAGGAACTTTGACTAAAGGACAACTGCCTTTCCACATTAAATCTCACTTAGTTAACACCAATACTTTCACTGTGCCCAAACTAAAACACTGGCCATTAGGACTACATCTCTCTGACGCCCAGCCTACCTGCATTGTTGCTTCCAAATTCAGCAGACAGGCATGACACAACAAGGATAAGGGTAGAGAGCGACAATGACTGAGGGGTGAAACAGCTTCCACAAAAGGACTGACTGAAAAGCTAAGCTAATTGTTAGACAAAATTATGATTTGTTCATCAAATAATAAAACATTAGAATTGGAGCCACCTTAAAGGTTAAAAAAAAAAAAGTGGCAGACTGGTACCAAGCACCATTTAGATTAGTAGTTAGCATACATTTGGGATTTAGCATTTATATGCTTTATAGATTTCATAAACATACACTGTTACTTTTTTTTTTTTTTAAGAATTTTAGCAACAGAGGATAATATATCCCTGGTGCCTGCCTGTGGGAGACAGAATAGAAAACCTATTGACTTTAATATTCTCAACCATACTTCCCATGAACTGTTGTACAGGTTACATCTTTATAAATAGAGCTAAGATTAACTGGGTTTGACCTACATTCTAACAGGTGCAGTTGAGAAACCAGTACAATAAAAATGATAAACTTTAGCACTTAAAGTCAAAAGGTGGCAAGGGCCCTCCCTGGTGGCACAACGGGAGGTTGGCCAGCCGCAGCCACAGCAACCAGAGTTTGATTCCAGGCCAGGGAGCTGACCCACATGGCACGGCAGACCTCTCCTGTCTCACCCACTGCTCTCCTCAGCAGTGTATTTCAGTTTATCTGTCTGTTCTGCTCCCCACTCTGTCTCTGGTGCATTTTCTTACTGTCTCTCCACCCCTGGCCTGTACCCCAGTTCTTGTATACATAAATAAATCTTAAAAAAAAAAAAAAAGTAAGAGTAAAAGATGGCAAACAGAAAGAACACTAAGAAAGCAAGAAATGTAACTAATGTTTTATGAAACAAACAGGAAAACTAAGAAAACAATTCACTATGTATCTACAACAAAAGCTACATAGTAACATTTTACCCCTTTTGCTTAAGATTTCTCCCCTTCTTAAAATAAAATTCTACAGCTATAACTCAGGTTCTACCTCTCATCTCTTGCCACCTTCCCAAGTAACCATACCTTCTGGTTGATTTCCTTTTTGTTGTTTTTTTTTTCTTTTCTTTTTTCCCCACCTTATTTTTTTTTCGGAACCATTGCCCAATTGCAATTTTCAAGGTTATTAAAAAGGCAAATATTCATATAGCCATCATCTGGATGAAAGAAAATCATTGCCATTACCACCCAGAACCCCAAGAATGCCCCTCTTCCTTCTGCATACAAATATGCACTGTCCTGACTTTTAAAATGATCTGTAACAGAAAACACTGTACTAGGATAACACTAGAAATAAGAGGGGCAAAAATGCGCATTAAAAAAATGCACATTTTAACCAGCTACAGTTACATATAGGCTCAAATAAGTGTATTTAATTTCCGACCAGAATAATCTGGATCAGAGGAAGAAGGTCATACAGGTCAAAATCCTTTCATTTTACACAAATTCCCCTTGCTTCCCAGGAAAGAATTTAGAACTGGTATTTCAAGAACATGTTTCCCAAAAGGAACAAAGGTCAAATATATAAATGTCTTTGAAATTGCTCCTGATGAGAACAAACTGTGCATAAAAGCTAATCAAAAAGTAAGAGAAGATTCATTGATTTTCCTCTTACCTGTAAAACTTTACCATGGACCACAGTTCCAAGGACTCCTGAACACAGTCTTGGAGTTAAGCCTGTGAACAGCCCACGCTTCCCATCGATGCTCGCAATGTGCTGAGCTAAGACATAAATCAGATTTTAATTCTACTTGAAAGAAATGGCTATCGGGAAATTTCAAGGAAACATGCTTTCCCTGTCCCTTCTTTCAGTAACTCCTGCCCATCAGCTCCCCAGTGTCATTCAATTCCAAATAAATCAGACACTTACCATAACAAAAAAGTCCGGGAAGCTGACATACTTGCCGCCCAAAAATATTTCGTCCTATTGTTGGAGGCAGGGGTTCATAGCCCACCTTTAATGACAAGATACCAAGATGAGAATCGATACAAGTTACAAACTCCCAAGAATGTCTTAGTTGCAAAGTCTTGAATAAAGAACAAAATCAGGGTTATATTTTTTAACACAAGATAAAATGCCGATTATGTTTTCCTTGTCAGCCTTTTGTTCTGTCTATTGGCAAGACTGGTTTCAATAAATTCCAAGTTTCCTTTTGGCTCAAATTCTATGAAGTAAGCCATGTTGCTGCCATAGATTAACATCAAATGGACAAACAGGAGAAAGGCACGTTTGTGTTCAGAAAGCTACCGTTCACTATGGAGGTTCAAAACATTTTTTAAAGAAACTCTAGGCCATTTTTATAATATGTAGACAAAATGAGAAGGCATCACTAAGCAAGGAAGCATCAACTTCCTATTTGGCTAGCAAGATTAAACACTCAGAAGTCAAAAAGTCAAATGCAGATTATGGCAAATTCACTCTGGAAATAATTACTGGCTACGTTCATATAAAAAGAGCAGACTGTCATTAACAATCTAATGGGGGCCATTTTAGAGTTAATGATTATCTTCTTATCGCTACAATATACTCAGGATCTTCATATTTAGTGCTAAAGGGATACTTGAGAGAATAGACACTGTAGGACATGGTTTTGACTAATGTGAGTCTTAATCTGTCCTTAAAATTGTCTGGACTTTCTGAAAGTGTTACTGTGCAACTATTTTTAAAATTTGAGTATTTGTGAATTTCACAAACCTCCCTTTCCTCCAACCTACTTGGCATCACACAGAGGTTATGAAATCAGGATTAAAGATGTTCAATTTTGGGGGGCAAAAGCTCTGAATGTCACTTTGAAAACCCTGTGTCCTGGAGAATTGTGTATGGGGTGGAGGGGGAAGCTCCTACCAGACCGAACTACAAAAAGCTGTCATCTCAGAGACTGTCTTGCCCAAATGTGACAAATCTGTGTTTAGATGTCATAGTATATTTTCGAGTCTTTGTTCTTGGTTCAAGTAACTTATTTTACAACAGCTTTTTATATATTTATATAAGCCGAATCCAAACCGGTCAACTGAGCAACACATCAAGTCAGGAATAAGAAATGTGACCTTTCCTGGAGTCGTGAGTTTTTGATGGAAGACAGAAGGTGAGAACAGGGTTCTGAAATCGGCTCCCGCTCCATGCCCTGGCACAAAGCAAGAGCTAATGATGTGCCCTCTCCATTAAGATTTAAAAAATGAATGACCTACCCAAGAAAGGGAAATTCAGAAAAGCTACTGAGAATAGGAATGGCTTACCACCTGCTAAAACCCGTCCTGCTTGCCCCTGGATATAAAACACATCTGAAAATTCTTTTACAGCTTATGAGAAACTAACTCGCTAAAACTCTTTCCCAGGAACTGACTTCCAGTTCAGACAGATGGTTTTCACTGTCCTGAGCCACAAAGGCTGCTGCTGGAGAGCGCTCAGTAGATCAGCCCAAATTTCACTCAGCAAGCACCCCATGACCAGTTCTGAATGGGCTCCTTGTGTCTACCTCGGTATCTGCTGCTAAAATCTCAGAACAGAATAGCAGCAGTAACAGCAGCAAAGGAAGAAGAAACGTGTGAACGAAAAAAGAAAATGTTGGCGTGCCATCCTTTCAAATTCGACTTCAACAGAGTATTTCGCGGCCAGTTTGGGGGAGAGGGGAGGAGGTGAGTGTTCATTTCACACAGGCGCGAGGGAGGGGCTGGGAAGCCCAAGGTGGCGACCGGCCAGGATCAACCTCAGAGAAGAAAAAACAAAGTTCAGAGAAGCCACCAGGCAGGCGGGGCGGCGGCAGTTGGCTGCAGGGAAGAAGCCGGCCTCCCCGGCTGACCTGCAGGCGAGCCCTCGGGAAGGCCCTGGGGCAGGGGCAGGGCCGCGGGCGGTGAAACTCGTCTCAGCCGGGAAGGAAGGAGCAGCGGAGACTGAGCAGCATCTCGGGAGACTCGAAGGCCCCAGAACCGATCCTCAGGCGCCGCGGGCGGCGGCGACCGAATAGGGCGGCGGGCGGGGAAGGGAATGGCGACGACTCGTACCTGGATGAGCACCTTCACGTACATGAGCGGCTGGGACAGGATGGTGAGACCGGAGCCCAGGAGCACCTGACTGGCCGCGTCCGCCATGATGGCAACCCGCGGACGGACAGACAGACGGAGCCACCGAGCCACCCAGTCAGACAGGTCACGTGCCCGGGCCGCCGGCTTCACTGGCCCGCCCGCGGCGCGCGCGCACGCACGCACCGGCGCGCTCCGCCCCGCCTCGTCTCCGCCTCCCGCCCCGCCCGGAGAAACGGCAGGAGCACGCGAGCTGGCGCAGGGGGCGGGGTGAGGCCTATGGGCCAGGTGCGCATGCGTCTAGTCTTAAACTTGTGCGTTCCAAGGGGCGCAGCAGTTTCTTTTGCGCCTGCGCAGGACGGCAGCGTCCGGGAGGAGAAGAATGGGAAAGCGGTGAGGAGTGCGTTAGTGACCCTGACAGCGAGGGCAAGGTCAGAGGACTATAATAAGAATGGGAAAGGATTCTTGTGCTTCTGCACTTGTCCTTTGGACATCATCAACAGACCCATAAACATTAATGAGCAACAAAAACCAGATTAAGATTGATATCTAATAATGCACCATCTGGTAGCTGCTCTTCTTGCATTCAGTCATTGATTCAGTGTTATCAGAAGAAAAGGTGGTGGCTATCTAAACTATGTCCCCACCCCCGTTTTCCTACTACGTGTGTGAGAGTCGGATTTATTTAGTTTGTTTCTTCTATTAGAGTGTAAGCTCCATAGCTGTGGAACCCAGAATACCTTTGCCATTGTCTATTCCGTGGCAGAAAATACGTTGCATGAATCATCAGTTGCATCAGTGCCTACCAGCTGACAGATTATTAGAGGCAAAAAGAAAAAGGCATTGCCCTTATCTGTAAAGCTAACATGTTCAATATGAAACAACACTTAGTGAGAGGTAGAAAGTGGGGAAAGAACTAAGTAAAAGCGGAAGGCTGTAAATAAGGACCTAGCTATCTATGGTGTTAAAATGAAAATAAATTCACCTTCTTTTGTTTTTGTGTCCAAACCTAAGCTTACCACTAAAACGCAAATCTAAGGTTTATCATACAGCATTAAGTGATGCTATAAATATATGTGTAAGTAAGAATTAAACATGCAGACCTAGGGCAAGCAATCTGGGACTGTGCTAGGACAAAAAGTTGGATTTCCCTAGAGATGAGGGAATCCAAGCCAGCAGCCACCAGAACAAAGGGAGAAGCCCAACCTCAGGATAAAGACTACAGTTAGCCACACCAAACCAGCCTGAGTTTCAAACAGACACTAAGGCCCATCTGTAGCAAACTATATAGGGCTACCAGGCACCACTTTCTCAGCATAGCCAGCAGCCCAGGTCAGCCAACAGGCTCCAGCAGAACCAGGCTGGGGGGTGCTGAAGGAAGCTTGTGAGCCACATCTGAACAAGGCCCACACTGGGAGCAAGGCTGTCCCGGACTCTGCCTGGGGCATGCAGGTTATCAGCAGGCACCACTCAAACACCCCCAGGACCCCTAGGTCTGCCAGAAACCCCAGTTGAACCAGCCTGTGGCTCCTGGGGCTCAGCAGCCAGCACTGGCTGCCCTGAGCCATGGGCTCCAAGGTCAACAGACCGCCTAGGGCTCCAACGCATGCATGCCTAAGGCCCCTCCACAGCAAGCAGCTTAGGGCTTCCAGGCTCTTGCACCTCAGGTTAGCCAGGAATACAGGTAGAAGAGCAGGCCCAAGCAGCAACGGTGGGGGTCTCAGGCAAACTTGTGGGCCCCATCCAAACCAGGCTCACCCTGCCATTCCTGGGAGGCCTGAGGTACTGGACATCGCCTGGTACATACATGGGTATGCCCTGAGGCCACCAGGTTCAGCCTGCGGCTTCAGGGCTCAATATCCAGCACTGGCTGCGCTGAGCCACAGGCAACAAAGTCGACCCAGTTAACCCCACAAGACCAGCCTGGGCATCCAAGGCATGCTGGAGGCCCATCCACAGTGAGCAGCATAGGACTTCCAGGTTACCCTACATAGCATAGCCAGGAAATCAGGTAGACCAGCAGGCCCCAGTGACGGGTTCTGAGGCAAACCTGCTGGCCCCATTCAAACAGGACTCATGCTGCCTGTTCCTGGGACCTGGCAATCCTGGTCACATATGGGATACGCAGGTTATCTCATGGGCCTCATATCAATGCCTTAGGGACCTCCATGTCCACCAAAACCCGCTGGAACCAGCCTGCGGCTCCTGGGGCTCAGCAGACAACACTGGCTGCACTGAACTGTGGGCTCCGAGGTCGACCAGTTAGTCCCACACGACCGGCCTGGGGCTCCCAGGCAGGCTAAAGGCCACTGAGAGTGGTGTAGGGCTCCAGGCTCCCCTGCTATAGCCTAGGCAGGAGCAGATGGTGTCCCCCAGCCCCTACAGCCCCAGCCAGGGGTTCTGAGGCAAACAAGCTGCCCCATCCGATAGTCACCTGCCTGGGCCTGGTAGCCAGGCTGTAACAGGCACCACCAAGGAGAGGAGGTTATCCCGTGGGTCCAACTCCAACACCAAGGTCCACCACAAGCCCACTGGAACCAGGCTGCTACTACCGGGGCTTAGCAGATGTCACTGGCTGCACAGAGCCCTGGGCACTGAGGTCGAACAGTTAGCTCCCTATAACAGCACATCGGGCTGGACATGCCTGGGGTTTTTTCATCGTTGCCTCTGTAGCAGGAGCCATTGGAAACTACTTTCATTTTCAATCTTTCTTAGTTATTGTGTTTTATGTGTGTCTGGCTTTTGTATATGCCATAACATAAGTGGCTTTTGCTTTGTGTTTCAATCTGAAAATTTATTTTCCTAAATGAATTTAACCAAGCGCATTTCTTGATATGACAAATACGTTTGGTCATAGTTCTGTTATTTCATTTTATGAAATTCTTTACCTTAAAAAGTGTTTGCAACTTTTAAAATAGTGTTTTTGTTGAAGTTTAAAAACAAACTTTTCCATATGAACTACTTGCTTTGTGAGTGTTTAGAGGGTATTTTGGGAGCTCTCCATTGTACAGTGGTTAATTTGTGAACATAGCTTTATAACCATGTTTGATTCTCATTATTACAATATCTATTGACTCCCTACTTACTCTGAGTAATCTTGAAATAAATTTACATTCACTTCTTTGCCTTCTCTATCTCCATCCCCTTCCCACCTTCCAGGTTCCACATAATTGTATCCTCCTGTTTCATACTGTCTACATGGTGACCATAGTATTTTATTCTATAGTGTTTACCTTTATCTCTTTATATATTTCTACCATTTATCAGCTTTTCATTTCCTTTTATGAAATCAGTGTGATCACACCTGTGTGCCTCCTTCTCTCTCAACTGTTTTTACAAATGTAATTTAGACATGGCTTGGCTTATAATATTTTGATTCCGTTCTAAATAAAATAATAATTTTTCACACTTAAAGAGTACTTTGGTGACTTTTTGGCATAACAATAGCATTCCAGACTCCATTCCTTTTCATGGGGAATGGTATTAGGGAACAAGATCTCTGTGCAAAGTATACTTACGTCAATGAAGTATATTTTATTTTAGGCTCTTTCAGCAGACAGGTGACTATACAAACATTTGTGTATATACATGTACATATGATTATACAAAGATTTACCTATTTTTAGAAACCACAACTGTGGCTGATTCTTAAAATTCCAATCTCCATAGGTTTTTTTTGTTTGTTTCCCTCTACTAAATGCTTTTCTTCTTTCAGAGAATCCTGGCTTCTAACATCAATACCTTCATTCATTTACTCAATTATATAGTAATAGATCTAAAATAGTTAATCATTTTGCTAGTACCAAACCTTGCCAATTATCAGACTTACTGAGGGAGTTCAGAATCCTCCACCCACAAGAGCCTAGCTTCTTAAACACCACTTCCCAACCAGGTTATTTGCTGGGAGGAAGAGGGAAGCAGGAAGGCACCAGGGCACTAAGGAGATGCAGGAGTGAAACATGAGGGACCTTGTCTCAGAGGCAGAGGGTAAGTTTCTGAGGCCAGAGGAGTCCCTGGAGCAGTCCCTGGGTCCACTCAGGACACGTTTTCCTCGTGTCCTCAGGAGGATGCCATCTTGGCAGCTGGGCGGAGGAGTAAACAGATGGTTAGGATGGCTGGACGGATCCAAAGTTGGGGGTTACCAGGTGGATGTGGCAGAAGGACGAGGGTGAGCACTCTGAGGAGCTGGCATGCTCGTGGTTGACATATTGCTCCCTGGAGCCTGCACTGAACGTGGGAGGAAGGACGCCAAGAGGGAGAAAGGGCAGTCACTGGGGCTTGAGCTGGCTTGAGAAGGGGGTTGTAGGAGTGATTTCTGGACATTGGATCCTGTGGCTTGATACCCAGTTCATGGAGCTCTGAGGGAGATGCCTGGACTGGCAGCAGCCAGCAAGCTGTTGCCGTAAGGAGTGAGAGAAGCCCTAGCTGGACCAGGCTGAAGAGGGAAGCTATTTCAGGCAGAGCTGAGTACTGTTCAAATAAGTGTGAAATCACGAAAAGTGTTACTTCACTGAACAGTCACTTGACTTTTCAGGTCAGGAGATGCGGTCCTTCCTCCACCCCAGCCTGCGTGGGACTCAAACCCAAGTGTCAAACTTCCATCTTGGCAAACCTTTCACTCCCATGACCTTCCGGAAGCTGGCAGGATGTCTGACTGGCTCAGCCCTTACTTCTCTGCCTGCGTTTTATGCACAGGGACAGGAATGGAGTTTTGCAGGCCCTAGTATTCTCACTCACTGCTCAGGGCATTCCTTTTTATCTGAATTTGGGGAAACTGTATTTGGGGGTATCCGCAGGGAATCATTAATAGTCAAGTAGCATTCTTTCTTTTTATATTCTTTGGGGTCTTCTTTGTTGGACCTATGAGCAAGCACCACTCTGGACATGGGCTGTGTACTTTCCCACTAGAGTCTTTCTGAACCTGATTGTACGTGAAAGTTTCTCACAGACCACACCACTCTGGCACAGAGCTGAAGTGGAACCCACTTAAAGGGGAGGATAAATTCTGAGCTGCTTTTCTGTTCAGCAGGCAGCATGAATATGAGCAGAAGGGATAAACGTGTTGAGTCACAGCAAATATTAACAGAAATGGAGTTTATCTTCCCCAGGAATATTTCACTAAGAAAGGCATAGAAATATCACTGGTGGAAATTAGTTCAACTATATCTGGCCATGCTGTACTTTACATTTTCTTTTTTTGTTTTAAATCAATTTTTTAAAAGATTTGTTTATTTGTGCATACAGAACTGGGATACAAGCCAGAGGTGCAGGGGTGGTGAAAGGATTCACCAGCAACAGAGTGGGGAGCAGAACAGGCAGATCAATGAAGTACACTGCTGAGTGGAGCAGTGGGTGAGGCAGGAGAGGTCTGCTGAGCCATGTGGGTCACCTCCGGGACGGGGATCCAACCTCCACCAGAGTGGCTATGGCCAGTTTGCAGTGCTGCGTCCCAACCTGTTGCACCACCAGGAAGAGCCAGCACTTTCTTTTTTAAAAGATTTGTTTTATTTATTTATGCATACAAAAACTGAGGTATAGAATGGCGAGCAGAACAGGCAGATTTATTGAAACACACTGCTGAGGGATATAGGTCTGCTGTGCCAATGGGTCACCCCACTGGCCAGAGATCTAACTTGTGCTGCAGATAGTTTCACAGAGTTCTGCTTTAACCCACTGCACCACCAGAGAGGCCACCTCCACACACATTTTTAACCTTCCTTGACAACTAAGGAATGTAAAGCTCGTCTGTCCTCTTGCCCACTGAGACACTCTCAATCTCCTTTTCCCAGATTTCATCCCCAGGTTTCCCTCTTAGTGATCAAGATGCTTTAGGTCATTTCTCCTGCAGCATCAGATTAATCTGTCACGTTCACATGGCACAGCAGACCTCTCCTGTCTCACCCGCTGCTCCCCTCAACAGTGCATTTCAGTTGATTTGCCTGTTCTAATCCTCACTCTTGTTTCTGGTGAATCCTCCTACCCCCACACCTCTGACCTGTACCCCAGTTCAGGTCATACTCTAAAAAAAAAGAAGAAAATGAATAGTTACTCCTTTGTAGACTGACCATGAGCTGATAGGACTTGAAATTGAACCATCACAGTCTGACAATTAATTATAGGATGCAGGCACTGTGCACAGACTTTATAGGAATTTCTCCCTTTCTCTGTTCTCAAAAATAAAGTTTATAAGTTAAAAAAAAAAAAAAAGACACAGACACTGAGATTGTAATGAAAATTGTGTCCCAGAGTGGTTCTTATCAGTCAGTGGTGATGGCTGGAAAAGCTTAAAAGCGCTCATGAATAGCAGGCAGGAAGCTTGCTCGCCAGTGTGCTGGGAGAAAGGGGAAGTCCCTTTCTCCCTCAGCAGGACCTTAGTAGGCTGACAGAACAGCCTGGAGACAGCAGACTGTGCTCATGGGGAGAGAAAATAGAAACTATCTGTACATTTAACTCTCCAGTTAAACCTTCAAAAGAAACAACTGGTTACAGAGAAAGATTTTTAATAGTTTAAAAAACGTACATAACCCAGTTGAACATAATAACATACAAACATTAAATTCTGGCTATATGAATTGTCTTCTCCTTGTGGGAACACCTTGCCCCCCCACCCCCATCCCTGCAAACCTGATACACAACAGTCTGAGCCACCATTCCTCCTTACAAAGCTTGGGCCCCAAAGACTTTAACATAGGACATGCTCAGAATATGTTTAAATTCGAGTTGATCTTTTAAAACTGATTTGCTCATAAACTGACACTGTCTAATGAGCAAAAAGAGGTAGAGCTGTGCTATAATTTCTGGAGCACAACTTTCAATTTCAATTATATAAAGCTTTTGTAAATTTTCATTTTATGAAAAAATAAACTCAGGAGGTCTGCATCCCTTGTGTAAGCGCATTGTAAGACTGGAGCCCAGTGGACACACGCCCCCCAAATGCATCGAACCCCAGACACGCCCAGAAAGGCCTGTGAGCATGGGACTAGCAGCCTAGGGGTAGGTGAACACGTGCAAGGACGGGTATTGGGCCGTGGGAGCGCGGGCTCTCTTGGTGACCGGATATTTGTGCCGGGACCAGTTTGGCTTCATCGATGGAGCTGGCTTTTGACTGGTGTTCGTGTTTCTCTTTGGAGAACATGATAATGGAAATCCTGGCTTCTCTCTCTGTGCAAACAAGATAGCAAAGTTGAATCTAGTTTATGTTGCAAGTGCTAAAGCTATAGTTGGCTTTACAAGAGTTAGCAAGAAGTTTCTGCATTTCCCCCACTTACCAAAGTAGTGATGTTACAGGCAGAAGTGAATTAAGCATTTGTCCCAGCCCCTCAGACAAAGAAAGGTCCACAGGCAATATTTTAATTGTCCTGAGAAGTTCAGGGACTGTATTTTATAAGCTGTCTGGGAACATTATACAAAAGAAGAGAAGAATTTGATCTCTCTAGGTGGGAGACTGCCCCACTTTTCAACTCCGCTTTCTGACATGCCATGGAAACTAAATGCTTCTACTGGAGAGAGGTTACCCTAGAAATATGAAGAGAGTGAAGTAAAGGCAGAGGTTTGGATGATATGCATCTGCTACAATGGGTCTAACTGATAGAGCTTAGCAGCACATTTCAACTGTGAAATTCGGGTTAGCCACCCACAGGCTTCTTTCAGTGAATGCTGAAAGAGGACAAAGGACGAGTTCATCAATTATCAGTCAGTCAGGACAGAAATCTGATTTTATTTAAACTTCTCTTTTCCTTGCTCTCCACCTTCCCTTATGCCCTGGTGGATGGGCTCCCCTGGAGGACCAGTGCCTGAGGGAGAGGCATGCTTTCCGTAGTGGGTTCTCCATGGTAGAGGTGAGAACATAAACCATGAACTTGGGAAAGCAGCAGGGACTTCACTGTGGAAAGCGGTCCATGCTCCATCTGGCACACCTCCAGTGAGCCAGCAGCTCACAGTTCCATCACGACACAAGAGAGCGACAGTCCCCCACAGATGTACCAGGGCTGTTTGAAATAGCTTCTATTTCTCCATCTCTCTTTCATCCCTCTCAGGAAAGAATACACAAGCGCAAAAGCAAGAGAGCTGTTGTGACAGTGATAACTATGGATTCATTTTAACTTACTCTTTGAAAGAAGCAAGTTACTCACAAGCCTGCGTAGTGACCAGTCATCCCTACCCTGGACATGGCATGCCTCACATGGCAACACTCCTTGCAGCTGGTATGCCCCAGGGCATTACTCATATCACTGTTTTACCTGAAATCTTGCCACTGAGTTACAAAGTAGTGAATTGGCTGCTCATTCCCTGTGGACAGCTTTTTAGCACAGTGGACATCCTCTGGTCCTGAAGGACCTTGTGGGCTGTGTGTGTGGGTGCAAGCTACTTAGATCTTTGCCTGCCCAGAAAAAGTTCAAGAAACTGTGAGGATTGTGGGTCACCACCCTCCAAATCACGCAACATATTTGAAAACCAAACAAAACTAATTGCAGATACATATACATATATGTAGATATTAAGAGGAATACCTGCATACTCTCTTTATTCTCAGTCAGAATGAAGGCAGTCATTTTTGATGGGTCCAAGGAGGTACCTTTTTCTCTTCCATTTAACTGTGACTAAAATAAATGAATACATTCTCACTAAATTTTCCATTTGGACAAGAGTGATTATGTAAAGTGCACGTCGCCTGGATGTCTGCTACCCATGCATGTCAATGTACTGTGGTCCTTAACACACAAAGAGAGGCCGGACAAAAGTGAATCCTAATTCAAAGCAAAGGAGAAAACTAGCACTTGTTGAGTGCTGCCTTCTGCCAGGTACTTTACCAGTAGGACTTCACATCCATTTCTCACAGCAACCTATAATGACATAGATTTCATCCCAATATTCAGATACAGAAAGACAGTCCTGGCTGGTTGAGTAACTCAAAGGATATTACAAAGGGGGGCTATATTAGAATTCAAGACAGACGTTAAAGCGTGTGCCCATCCCACAATTACACTAACCTCAAATAGCCTTTATTTCTTAGTTTTTAAAAAGATTTATTTACTTATGCATACAGAACTGGAGTACAGGCCAGAGGTACAAGGAGTGAGAGGATTCACCTGAGACAGAGTGGGGAGCAGAAAAGGCAGATGTACTGAAATATAATGCTGAGGGGAGCAGTGGGCGGGTCAGGAGAGGTCTGCTGTGCCATGTCTGGACATGTGCCATGTCTGCAGCTCCCTGTCTGGAGATCGAACTCGTGCTACAGTGGTTGCCTTAGCTTCATAGTGCTGGGCTTTAACCTGTTGCACTACCAGGGAGGGCCCATCTCAAACAGCCTTTAATACTGAATAGAGATGGGTGTGCTCTGGGGGGATTCTGTAGTATAATGCAGAGAGACCCCAATGCTGGTAGCCACTGGGTAGCTTTCACAACAGGATCGCATGCCACATGAGGAGGGCTCATTCTGCACCCTACCACTAAGAATCAGCTACCATTATACCAAAACATATTTTCACAAATAAAAGAATCAAGGCTTTTAAAGCCACAAAATTCTGGTGTGTCAAAACAAAGCAAAACAAAACTCCAATGTGCCAAAAGTTGGTTGGGTGCGTCTCCGGTGTGCCCCCTGCATTCTACCCTGTCCCTGTGAGGTAATTTCCTGCTTACCTGTGAAAACCCCCACTGGGCTCTAAGGCCCCTGGAGGCAGGGCTTAGGGCTCTGTTCAATGACCTGACAGTGCTGCATACCCTGTGCCACGAAAGAGCCCCGCACGTGGGTTACGCATGACCTGGTTGGATAGATGGGTGGTGAGGCAGCCTGTTGTTCTGTTCCGAGTATGAAATCACAATTCACCAACAGCTGACATCAGATTTCAGGGATGTCTCACCGAGACAGTGTCCCCTCTAATTTTAATGTCCCCCTGCTCCCGGGGGCACTGACTGACAAGGCTGATATAGCTGGCTGTTGCATTTTTCACCCAGTTGGGAGAGAAGTGCTAGATGGAAAAGTCACTGAATCTGTGTGATAGTTAGGGTGGAGCAGAATCAAAGCTCGAAAATAAACCTGCACATAAATGGTCAATTAGTTTTCTACTGAAGAACCACGAACATATAATGGAGGGAAAGCTAGTCCCTTCAGCTAATGGTGTTGGGAAAACTGGATTCCACATGCAAACGAATGAAATTACACCTCACTTTATATCACGAGTCATACATAAAGTCTAAAAACTTAAAGACCTGAAACCATGAAACATAGGTGGCAAACTCTTTGACAGTGGCCTCGGCATGGACCTTTTGAATTTGATGTCAAAAGCGACAAAAGCAAAAATAAACAAGAGGTAACTTTTCAAATTACTACATCAGACTTTTCTGCACAGCAAAGGAAACCACCCAACACGATGGAAAGGCGATCCCTGGAGTGGCAGGTAGCATTTGTGCACAACGTGGTATACGCCATCTTGCCATATGTGAGTGTGGATGAACCTAGAGGGCACCACACTAAGCGACACACACCAGCCGGAGAAGAGCAAACAGTGCCTACCTGGTGTCACTTATCTGTGGAACCTTAAACAGAGACAAGAATGGTGGCCAACAGGGCCCTCCCTCATGGCACAGTGGGTTAAAGCACAGCACTATGAAGCCATTGCAACATCCGGCCAGGGAGCAGCAGACCTCTCCTGACCCGCTTGCTGCTCCCCTCAGCAGTATATTTCAGTACATCTGCTTGCTCTGCTCCCTACTCTGTCTCTGGCAAATCCTCTCACCCCCCACACCTCTGGCCCACATCCCAGTTCTTGTATGCATAAATAAATAAATCTTAAAAAAAAAAAAAAAAAGAATGGTGGCCACTAGAGGCCTTGCAAGAGGTGAGAGAAGAAGGGAGAGAATGGGAAAAGGATAACAACTCTCAGCTATGAGATGAGTAAGCTGTGGAGTCAATGTCTGACATGGCGCTGTAGCTGATAATACTGTGTTGTATTAGTAAACTTTGCTGAGTGGAACTTGGGGGGAAGTGTTTTCACCAAAAGGGGGGAAAAAAGGTACACATATGAGGTAATGGCTGTGTTAATTTATCCAAGGCCAGCAACCCTTCCAAATATGTAGGTATATCAATTTATCACATGGTATATTGAATATTACAAAAAAGTTTAATAAGCTTTTCATGAATGAGTAAAAAAAAAGTCAAGCAAAAATACTACCTCATTCAGTCTTGGTCTTTCATATTTCACTGTTGAAGAACTGGCATTCTCTGAATTTCTGAAAAAGGTAGGCTGCTTTTGCAGAGTAGAAGCGAACCCTGCCCTTTCCTAAAAGGATTGAGTGCAAAGAGAGTATTTTTCAATTGATCCACTGCAGTCAATATACTCATAATTGACCCACTTTACCCAACAGTAAAACTCCCAGGCCTGAAAGCATTTTCATCTTTAGAAAGCAGGGCGATGGCCTGGGTGGAGGAGTTGGGAGGAAGATTGGGAAGGAACACCCCCAAATGTTCTCAGCCTGCACTGGGCCTCATCGTGCCACTCCAGACTAGCTCCAGCCACCACTTTTCCACAATCACCTCCTCTGTCAGGAAAGCCAGACTCAGTGAAGTCCACACGTGGCATGCAGGACCAGCGGCCGAGGCTGCAGTCTGCCCAGAGGAGTCACGTACCCGGGGCCGGGAAGCCAAAGCAGAGAGCGCTCCAGCCCCTCCTCCCTTTCTGGTTTAGAGTCGACGGTAGCTTCTTGTTCCACGCCTTCCATGGGATAATTTGTAAGTGGATAAAAGTAGGCAGCAGAGTTTTCTTACCGGGGTGTCTTCCGATAACTTTAACCTCTGCATCAAATTATTTTTCTGATATTGTACATTGCGTTGTTTCCTAGTCTGAAGTGGCTTCTTTCTTTTCTTCTTGTACATCTTCTTCTTCTGATTCAACTGTTTCAGAAAGAATAGAAAAACTAGTCGGTGAGGAGTTCAGAGCACCCCTGCCTGTGGAGTCTTCACACAACACTTGGGGCACAAGGGCTGACCCCGTGTGCAGGCCTCACGGTGCCGAACTGCCTTTTGCTGGGAGAACAGCGTTCACGAGCTTTTTACTGAGGTCACTTCCCATTCAATACCCCTCAGGCCCCACCATTACAGACACACTGCCCCCCCACAGTCCCTGTCCTAATAAGCAAATAGCTGTGATTTACAAGAGGAAACCAGCCCACATGTGGCCATAATGTCAGGTTGATAGTGCCTCGCATTAGATGTGTGGCTTGATTGTTACCACAGGTGGCTTTGATGATTAAGCAAAGGAAACTCAGGTCTAATTTTAGGTTTCTGAGGTATGAAGCTTATACTGGTGATGCTGTAAATCCAGCTGAAGACACAGGGTTCAGGCTGATCTAGCCGGCTTCCTCCTTGACACAGACATAATCTCATGCCATGAAAGACACTTTTTTTAAAAGGATTTATTTATTTATGCATACAGAACTGGGGCCCAGGGCAGAGGTGCAGGGGCAGTAAGAGGATTCACCAGGAACAGAGTGGGGAGCAGAACAGGCAGATCGACTAAGTACACTGCTGAGGGGAGCAGCCGGCGGGTCAGCAGACATCTGCTGCACCATGTGGTCACCTCCGGGGCAGACGGGGATGGAACTCATGTGGAAGTGACTTTAGCTTCTTAGTGCTGCACTTTAACCCGCTGCGCCACCAGGGAGGGCCCCAGAGACACTTCTTAATGCAGGAACTCATGTTCACTATAAACCACAACACATACTTTATTGTTACCAATTCTCTTACAATATCTTGCTAAGAAAAAGTGTATAGCCCTCCCTGGTGGCTCAGTGGGTTAAAGTGCAGCACTGCAAGCTCTGCAGCCGCTTCAGTGCTGAGTTCCATCCCCGGCCCCTGAGCTGACCCACAGGGCGCAGCAGACCTCTTCTGTCTTGCCCACTGCTCCCCTCAGCAGTGTACTTCATTGAACTGCCTGTCCTGCTCTGTCTCTGGTGAATCATTTCACTGTCCTTGCACTTCTGGCCTGTATCCCAGTTCTGTACGCACAAATCAATAAATCTTAAAAAAAAGAAAAAGTGTATGAACAAATGGAACAAAAAGATTACTTAATATATAGAAGTTTAAAAAATGTACTACATGAAAAAAGCAACTTAAATGACTTAACATGGTTTTTACTTTTAGTTGAACTTTCTTTTCTCAAAGAAAGGACCAAAGTTAATCTCTGCCCCCTCCTACCCTACCCCACTCCTGATTTTAAAAACAAAGTTATCAAGGACAAAAATGAAAGTTTCCCGGGAGGGTAACCAATTAGGACATTATTGCTATATTTTCTGCAGATCTTAAAACAGCTGGAAAATTCCATCAAATTACCCAATTGCTATTTCCCGGGTAAAAGAGAGTACGAACCTCACCTCATCAGCTATGTTCAGCAGGTGAATCGGGAGGCCATCTGAGAGGGAGCTGTCAGAACCACTGGTGCTGTTTCCGAAAGGAGAGAAGAAAGGGCACACCTGTTACACCACAGACGTGGAACAGTCCCAGACCTGCACGTGGGTTGCTATCTGGTCTACCTTCGTCGTCTGTTTCAATTACTAAGAATTCCTAGCAAGTACAACTCACGCATTTATGCTGGACATCTACAACATGCCCTTGTAGAAACTATATTCTAGTAGGGGAGCTTGACAATGAGAAATAGACACAGTAAAGGCATGAGTGAAGTTAGATGACAGAAGGAGATAAACGTTACTGTGAAAAGGAGAGCATCTGAGCGGGATGGGGACTGGCAGGAGGCAGAAGGGAAGGGGTAAGCTGCAGCGTGCGGGCCCAGAGGGTAGGCCACGATAAAACTGATGTTTAAGCAAAATTCTGACAGTTAAGGAATCAGCCACACAACCATCTGGAGAAAGAGCATTCCAGGCCGCTGGAACTATGACTGCAAAGGCCCTGGGCCAGGTGAGGCAAGTCTGAGGGAGGGTAGAGTCAATGTGGCTATAGCGGCATGTGAGAGGGTGAGTGTGGAGGCCTGGAAGAATCTGTGGCTAGATCCCAGGCCGCAACAGGGTCTCAGGTGTTTATCTGACAGCACACCAGAGGACTGACACGATCCCTGGCTTTCTCTTGGCTTCACTGTTCCCTTCTTAGTCTCATTTGCTGCTTCCCCCCATCTCTCTGTCCTCTTGAGAATTTGTGGTGCCTGGTCAGACTTGGCCTTTATTCTCACTGCACTTTCTCCCCTGGGATCTTCTTCAGTCTTAAGGCTCAAATGTCATCTCTGCAGCGATGGCTTTTTCCAGTCGGGGTCTCTACTGGGCCCCAGACTCGTTACCCACTGTCTCTTCAGCATCTTCCCCCAGACGTCTACTGAAAAAGTTAACCTAAATGCACCCACTGGAGCCACCTCCCCCACCACCCCTTTCTCTGAGCCAAGCCACCTTCACCTTTCACCTGGATCACTGCTGGGTCTCCTAATGAGTCTCCCTGCAGAAACCTTTCCACTTCACAATCAGCTTTTTACACAGGGAACAGAGTGTTCCTGCCAACCTAGAACCATGAAGCTTCTCTGCTTAAAACCTTTCAAAAGCTTGAAACCTTTCGCCTCTCCTCGAGTAAAAGACAAAGGTTTCCCAATGGCCTCAAGATCTTACATGGGCTGTTGACTCAGCTCCCTAACCCTTTCTGTTTCCTAGAAAAAAACAGATATTCAGCACATACTTGCTGGAGGAAAAATGATATTTAAATGTGTAATGATTTAAAGCATATTTAATATATTGTACCTGAGATCTAAAATGAAACCAACACCTCCCCCCAAAGAGCAAACAAAAATAGATAGATAGTTGCTCTTTATAATCCCCCCCACATATCCCACATATATATTTAAGAATTGAACTTCTGTGGTTTTTATTTGAAATGAAATCTGTTACCTGGATTCAATATCAGACAAAGAGATATCACTCCAACTTCCTTCTAAATCCATATCTTGTCCAAGTTCACTTAATTTCTTATGGATTTCCCGTTGTAAGAACTCATTAAGCTCTGCTAAACACTGCATGAACTGTGAAGTAAAATAAACAAAACACCACTTATGATTATTCATGTATTTATTTCTAATATTAAGTATATGTTGAAAGGACATAATTTTTTTTGATACTGTGACACACACATGGCTAAGTTATAACCTCTGCTGTTAAAAACTTTAATAAATTACATTAGCTGTAGAAACAAGTGTTTTTTTAAAGCACTTTAGTATCTTAGTCACTTTTCTCTGACTATAGCCAATAATAAACATCTTGAACACTGCAATGACCTGAACTTTGTTATGTTTTTGAGTAGTGATGCAGCCTGGTGGTGCAACAAGTTAGGTGGTGCAAGCTAGCTTCAGCCGCTTCAGTGTGAGTTCGATTCCAGGCCAGGGAGGTGACCCCGTGGTGCAGCAGACCTCTCCAGCCTCACCTGCTGCTCCCCTCAGCAGTGGACTAGTGGACTTCATCAGTCGGCCTGTTCTGCTCCCCACTCTGTCTATGGTGAATCCTCCCACGCCCCTGCAACTCTGGCCTGTACTCCATTTCTATATGCATAAATAAATAAATCATAAAAAAAAAAAAAGAAGAGGGTCTTCCCTGGTGGCGCATCAGGTTAAAGCACAGCACTAAGAAGCTAAAGCCACTTCAGCCTTTGATCCCCGCCCCCCGGGGTGATCCACATGGTGCAGCAGACTTCTCAGGGCCTGCTGCTCCCCTCAGCAGTGTACTTCTTCAGTTCTGCCTGTTCTACTTCCCCACTCTGTCTCGGGTGAATCTTCTTACCCCCCCGCAACTCTGACCTGTACCCCATTTTTATATGCATAAATAAATCTTAAAAAAAAAGAATGGGGTTGTTCATATTTTAGCTCACGACAAACACAATTTATTGTGCCAAGTGAACAATATTTTAAATATTTTTCATTAAGCAGTTCCCAGGGTCAACATATATGAAGGGGAAGGAAAGAAAGAATAAGTTAGAGGCCATAAGTACAGGTTCCCTTTTTTAAAAAACATTTCTTTCCAGCTTTATTGAGGTATAACTGACAAAAGATAGTGTATACCACGTGATGACTTAGAGAGGTACATTGTGAAAGGATTTCCCCCACCAGCTTAATCAAAGTATTTCTCACCTCATAGATTCTTTGTGAGGACATTTAAGTTCTACTCTCAGCAAATTTCAATTACATGAAACAATATTACCAACTATAGTCACTGTGTTATACATCAGACGCTCAGACCTCATTTGTATTTTTATTTAAACTAAAGTTTTCTTGTGGTAACGTTGGTTTACGCTGCATCATTGCAGAACAGCCCTGTACCTTGGCATGTACACACCACAGCACGCACCACCAAAGGTCTGTACCATTCACCATCGCCCCGTTCACACACTCTCACCCTGCTTCCTACTCATCTTGTAACTAAGAGCTTATACGTTTTTACCAACCTCCTCTTACTTCCTGAACCCCAAATTCCCTCTTAAGAAGTTGAGTGATGATGGGCCCTCCCTGGTGGCACAGCGGGTTAAAGCACAGCACTGAGAAGCTTAAGCCACTTCCGCATGAGTTCGATTCCCGCCTGCCCCGGAGGAGACCACATGGCGCGGCAGACCTCTCCTGACCCGCCCGCTGCTCCCCTCAGCAGTGTACTTCCTTGATCTGCCTGTTCTGCTCCCCACTCTGTCTCTGGTGAAGCCTCTCGCCACCCATGAGCCTCTGGCCTGTACCCCAGTTCTGTATGCACAAATAAATAAATCTTTACAAAAAAAAAAAAAAAAAGAAGAAGTTGAGTGATGAAGGGAGAGAGTTGTACTGTGCTGGAGAAACGAGGGCAAAGGAAACCTTGCTGATTTTAAGGCGGGGCAGCTTGAGGACATTTGCAGTTGAGGAGATGGAGGAAGAAGCAAACACTGAAAGAAAGGGTCCTTAGTGAGGCAATCCCTCGGAGGCAGCCAGGGAGGCCAGCAGGGCAGAGGGCAGGGTTAGAGCTGGGGAGGAAGGAGGATGGAGTCACCTGAAAGAGGAGGAAGGGAAGGCAGAGCTGGTGCTGCCAGGAGCGAGCCCAAAAGGGAGGACAGTGAGGGGAAGCCCGGGAGGCTTCTGCCTTCCTGGGAGGGAAGCAGTCTTACCATTTCCTTAGAGTGTGCACGCTGGGGGCTTTCTTCTTTTCTTAAATATTAAAAACTCCAGAAAAATATTAAGAAAAACAGGGCACCCATAACCCCACTGGTCTGACATTGGACCTCGGTGAAACTGACCTCACTAGCTTTGCTGCATTTCTCTAATTGTCGTTTTTACCTTGGTTCGGTCAGGATCGCAGAAATCCAGGAGGGTGTCACAGACGTGATAACCCAGGGACTGGAGATCCTCAGTGGTAAAGTGAGTGTCTCTTTTATTGCCTGGAAAGAAGTCCATAAACACTTCTTAGTCTTAATAAACAAGTGTAAATCTAATTTATGACTCTTTAAAAATACTACCGCTGAGTCTAGAATATTATGCTTTTGGATGGCGTCTCTCTCAGAGTTTTACTTTGGTTCCTAAGAATCTTTGACAATGAAAACACTGATTACAGTCACGGAGGTTGGCTGGGAGGTTTTACTTGGTGACAGGCACAAGGCCCAGAGCTTCCCATGTGCTGTCTCAGGAAGCAGTGCCAATAATCCAATTACTATTATTATTGACAGTTACAGGACAATACAGTCACAGAAGCTCAGTAACTTACCCAGGTCATACAACCCATTAATGGAACTGAAAGTCAAACACAGATCTACCTAATTCTAGGTCTTGTACAATTATTATATATCCTGCTCCACTGAGTATTACATTTTCACACAGATTTTGGATAGTCATAGGGTACAGATTTTAGGATAATCCCCTAGGTCACTCATCTTCCCAGTATTCGAGACTTCACCTCTGCAGTGCGTGGCTTGGCTTTCCAGCGCCAGCCCAGCCTACGATGTACGAAAGGCAGCTTACCCAGCGTGGACCCGCCAAAGGTAGCCTCGATGGTGTAGCTGTTAAGGATGCCCATCCGCCACATCACAACGCGCCCTGTTCCTTCTTTGCACTTTTGGACCTTAAAATTACAACTCCGAAAAGAGAACTAAAGAGAAATCAAAACCCTCTGTTAATCAAAACATGGCAAATGTAAGAAATCTAAAAGTCATTAATGTGATACCTGCTGGGGTCTGCATGCTATTTCCCAAAGTACTGTTCCATAAAATACTAACTCTAAGGGATGACAATAGGGACTACAGAGGAAGAGGAGGTTCTGCAGTCATGTTAGCCAGGGAGATGAAGGGTTAGCAGCAGTAAACAGGCTCCCTCTACAGCCCTGAGGAAATTTTCCTCTTCCTGGATGGTGGCCCTCCACAGAGCAGGGAGTGCATTCTGGTTTCCAAACTTCCTGGCTCATGAACCCATCCATCCCTTCTCGAGGGACATCCTGCAGGACAGGAGTGCCTAGAACACCTATTTGGCACTGCTGGCTCATTTGGTAGTCATAGCACTAGCCAACCTTTCTTTTTGTTTTAATGTTTATTTATTTATGCATACAGAATTGGGGTACAGGCCAGAGAAGCAGGGGATGAAAGGATTCACCAGAAACAGAATGGGGAGCAGAACAGGCAGCTGTACTGAAATTCACTGCTGAGGAGAGCAGGGGGCAGGTCAGGAGAGGTCTGCTGCACCATGTGGGTCAGCTCCCTGGTTGGGGATGGAACTCATGCTGCCATGGCTGCGAATCACTTCACAGAGCCGCGCTTTAACCTCTTCAGCCACCAGGGAGGCCCTCTGTGCTTAGTTTTTTGATTGCCATATAACATTCCACTGTGTGGATATATGCATTTTGTTTATCTGTTCATCCAAATAATTCTTAATCACATCTTTGTAAATGCATGAAATTCAGGTTGTTGGGGTTTACCCAAGACAATGAAATGACAGACAGTGGCAAATCTAATGGTACCGAAGGATGTGTTCCCTTCTCCCTTAGTTGGTGGGCAGAAAATTACTGCACATGCTTACCTTATCCGGTGCGTTTTTGCTTAGCATTAAAGGGAAGACTCGCTCATGCAGCCAGTACTTGCGATCGTTGTTATTACAACCGTACAGGAAGATGTTATTCTTCCGGCTGTGGCCATGGAAGTCGCAGTACAAGAGGACCTCCCTTTCCTTAAGAAGTCTGTCGAGGGATCAAACAAAGGTCTCTGTGGACATCCAAATGCAAGCAGCCAAGGATCTTGTGGAGTCTCTTCTTAAATGTGGCATAAGGGTATCTTTTCTCCTAAGAAAGCTGTAACCCCTGATGGCTCTGTGAGGACTCCCTCCCCAAGGGCAGGCAATGCTGTAACATGTCACTCGCCTTGAGAAAACTAATAAATGGAGACTATTTACTGAGAGAAAGCCCATCCTGCTGCAGATCTCAGGAAAGAGGGAGAGGGCTGCAACTGCAGGGATGAAAAAGAACCACCAAAGAAAGCCTTGCTTCTTGAATTCCCAGGGCTACTTCCTACACGGCTCAGCTCTTCTTGTCTCCTGGTTACCCAGAATGCCTGTTCAACCTTGCACGCGTTTTCTCCTGATCATGACGACAACAGGATGAGAAAGGTGATGACTGTTTGGATGAAACAATGTGTTGGGTTCTATGCTAAAATAGATAAGATGATCACATTTAATCCTCACAGCGACACCGAGGCAGGCATCTTCACCCACATTCTACACATGAGGAAGTTACTGCAGAGGTTTAATTCCTTCCAAGGCCACGGAACCAGCCAGTAGCAAAATCAATCTCAGGCCAAGGCCTGAAGTCCAAACATATGCTTGCGCCATTTTGCCAACCAGCTCCACAGACTGCCCCTTCTCCAGCCACAAGGCTAGGTGTGCCTTCACATACTCACATGCTGCTATAGATGGCACTATTACCTCACAGCCTTCCACTGGTTTCACACAGGCCTGGAAATTGCTAACCACTTTATCATTCTTTCTTCACGAGAGGCAATATAAAACAGTAATAAAGAACTCAGATTTTAGACCAGTGGAGCTAGAGTTCAAATATCTACTATGCCACACACTAGCTATATAACCTTAGACAAGTTACTTAGCCTTTCTAGGCCTTCATTTCCTAGTCATATATAAAGTAGGGTTACTAACTGTGTCTACCTCACAGGCTAAGTGAAGAAATGGGTCATATATACGAAGTGCTAAAAAGACTACCTGTCCCCTCAGATATAAGAACTAATTGGTAGGTATTATTTTTATGACCTAAGGCTCATCATGAAGACCTATGAATTATTCCTCTGATTTCTGGTCTTTTTTTTTTTTTTTAGATTTATTTATTTATTCATACAGAACTGGGGCACAAGCCAGAGGTACAGGGGCAGTGAGAGGCTTCACTAGAGACAGAGTGGGGAGCGGACAGAGTGACTGATGAAGTACACCGCTGAGGGGAGCAGCGGGTGGGTCAGGAGAGGTCTGCCACGCCATGTGGTCACCTTTGGGGCCGGGGATCGAACTCACACTGAAGTGGCTGCAGTCAGCCTACGGTGCTACGTCCTAACCCATTGCGCCACCAGGGAGGGCCTGATTTTTGGTCATTTCAGCTCAATTGTTTCACTTGCAACTAAAATGCCTCTAGTGAAATGTTGCCTATTCAACCCAATGATAGGACATAATCTAAGTTTGAAGATGAACAGATCCATGTGGCTGCAAAGAGAGTGGTAGAGACCTATGTCCAAAGTCACAACTGACTTCTACATCTGAAGAGACCTCACACCCCATCTGACAGTGCTCACAGCATTCAGAGAAAGATTGGCAGGTAAAGCATCTCACCTCTTAATCATGTTCCTGGTGTACCAGATGCAAGGGAAAGACTCCTTCAGAATGGTCTTATAATGCCTGTTCAAGTCCCTTCCAGCCAATGAACACCTATAATTGCCCACAATCACTCCATCTGGATTTAACATGGGAACCACTTTGAAGACAAAGATATCTCTGAGAAGTTGGGCATCTGGGGAGTTGCTAAGGATGAAGTCCAAAAACCCTTTCATGACCCAGGAGCCATTACTTTCCCCCGGGTGGACTCTGGCGCTCAAGACCACAGCTTTCTTTGCAGCTGCTTCTTGGGGGGTCCGCGATGGGTTGGTGATGGTGAGCAGGTAGACGGTATTTCCTGCGAGGCTCTGGCACAGAGTTCGAAGTTTGCAGAACTTCGATTGAACAGGGTTGTTTGCCACTGACAGGAGGTAGCACTGCAAGTCAGTGTATGTGTACGGGTAGAAGTGTGCAAAGTAGCAAGTGTCTTGCTCATGTGGGAATTGAATGGTCCATGTGAGACAGTAGAAAGGCTGCTGCCCATCATCCTTGTGGTTCTTATAGTACTTGATCTCATTTCCTGCTCTCCTCCAGCCGACGCTGTGGGCTTTTGCATCCAGTTGGGAGTACATGAGTGGTTTCATCCCTACAGTGTACAGACTCTTGGGTTTTAGCAAATTGATAATAGTGAAGCGATAGGTGACGTCTTTTCTGGTGTTCTGAACTCGAAAATAGAACCACTGAGTGTGTTTGTTTGTGTAGAGGTCGTTTCGCAAAGTGAGCTCGTATTCGTAAGTGTCTCTAGAATGGAGAAAACAGAAGATATCTCTGTAACTCCACACTCCCCTCAAAAATCAAGGAAAATAGCTATCCTCTGGTAAAAACAGGTCTCACTACCATTGAAAAGTCTGCTGTATCAAACAGATTTTTAATGTCCCTAGTTCCCCAACCCATATTATCAGGTTGACAGGAACCTGGGGAAGAGGTTATTAGGGGAAAGGAGAGATTATTAGGTGGGTTCCAACCACTTCAATGCAGTTCCCTATGACATGCTGACCAGCAGTGAAGTCAGAGCTCTCTGAGCTGCCCGCTACATCCTGGACAGCACCATGTGCAGGAGACCCGTAAAGTTTCTATACTATTTTCACCTCTGGGCATTAATTGTTTGAAGATAAGGGGGGCATTTCTGAAGTGTACTTGACTTGTTGAAAATCAGCAGGACTAACTTGTAGAAGGGAAACTAGAAATGCCAAGGAAAAAAGTGAAAATATTCACTCACATGCATAATTAAAAACATGCCAAGTAAAGTATCATTTCCTTCTATCTCATCCATATTCCAATGCCAGGAAGCAGGCACTTTCAGATACTCTTGGGGCCTCAGAAATCACATTGGAGGGCAGTTTGACAATAACAATACTTGAAGTGCTCAAGTGCTTTGCCCCAACAATGTTACTTCCAGAACTTAGCCTATAAAACCACAATTACTTAAAAGCATAATCCATACAGATGTTAATTCTACTAACTCATTAAGAAGACAGTTGTAAACTTCTGAATTTTCCATCAGTTGGGGTCAGGGGAAATAAGATATGGAAGACCTATACAAGGGCAATATGCACTATTAAAGATGAGGACATCCATCTGTGGGACTGCCACAGAAACACCTGCAATTATTTATGAAATGGAAAAAAGCAATTTGCAAAAGCGTTATGTATACATTTATTCTATTTTAAAGGGTATATTACTGGCTACATTACATCTCTCTTTCACACACAAATACACACACAGAAAATTGAGTGCATATATCCCAAATGTTAACAATTGCTCTATCTGGGGCGATCATTAAAGGACTTTAATTTTTATTGTTATGTATTTTTTTTTAAAGATTTATTTATTTGTTCACACAGAACTGGGGTATAGGCTAGAGGCTCAGAGGCGGTGAGAGGCTTCACCAGAGACAGAGTGGGGAGCAGAACAGGCAGATATACGAAGTACACTGCTGAGGGGAGCAGTGGGCGGGTCAGGAGAGGTCTGCCACGCCATGTGGTCACCTCCGGGACAGGCGGGAATAGAACTCATGCAGAAGCGGCTTTAGCTTCTCAGTGTTGTGCTTTAACCCGCTGCGCCCCCAGGGAGGGCCTGTTATGTATTTTTAATAATGCAGATTTTAAATGAGTTCAGATGAAACGATTTAAATAATTTTTATTCTGGGCAACAATAGAGGTCACTATTACTCCCACCTGACTTCATCATTGTCAAAATCAGTTCCCATCAGCCCAGTCTTGCAGAAATATGCCTAACTTCTGATTCCTGAGACACCTTTCAGCCACTTAATTATCATTCCCTTGAGAAATCCCCCTTTGCTACTCACACTCGGACAGCCTTTTGCAGATTCCCACTCTCAAACCTTGATTCAAACAGTAGAGTACTGTCTTCTGGTCCTTGCAAGGGGACAGCGAGTTCCTTGATAGTTCCTCGTTTGCCCCCCACTCTGGAGTTGGTGAAATAGGCACCTTCTGCTGGCACTGCAGATAAGAGAGATATGTTTAGGCCAGGTTCCACTCAGAATCCGTTCATCCAGCTGATTTTTATTGAGCCTCATTAAGTGTTGAGCACAATTCTAAGTTAAAAAACAATGACTGTTTGATTTTTCAATTGTCCCTGCTGCTGAGACTTTTAATTTTGAACAAGGGCTTCAAGGCCTTTATGTGGGTAAAGCACTTCCTTTGCCTGCATGGCTCCTATGACATCTAAACACTGCTTATAGTGCACATAAACCCCAGTTTACATGGACGTTGGCAAGAAACGGCACATCTGAAAACATTTGCAATTTTATTGCAATTCTACAAAAAAATTCAAAAAACACCTATCTGTTTATGAATAAAAGGATAAAACAAAAAAGAGAAAATAAGCCAGGTAAACCTCCCAGGTGTAAATATAACAAAAATAAAAGTTTGAGATGAGTTGGCATGGGTAAATCTGCCTATGAAGGGAACCGAAATGTCATGTTAATTAGTGAAAAGAAAGGGTTAGAACTGAAATTTTATCTCTAAAATGAAGCTGAAACAATTATGAAATTTATCTCTTTTAACAAAGTTTACGTTACAGTCACAGACTCCTCGGAATGATAAAGAATCAATGGATTTTGGTGGGTGGGGCTGCACTTTTTCACACAAATTTAGGAAGAGTGCCATATGGTATTTTCTGTTATTTGTAGCTACTCTTGCAAAACTATTTGAGCGCTTCTTAAGTTTTCCTTAGTCCTTCTCTACACGCCACAGTATGTCCAGAAGAATCTTTTGTTGATTTCCTCTGTTAACTGACTAAAAATATCTAGATCCTTATAAATCAATGCCTTAGCAAGTAAGCGAAACAATACTTTAACATTCGTTAATTTTTTAAAATCTGCCTCTCTTGCAAAGATAACTTCACTTTGCAGTTTCAGTTTCTGCATTATGTTGTCAGATGTTAATAACATCCACCAACCAGCAAATGGCTGATAAAAACAAAGCTGCACAATAGATGCCAGCATTAGACAAACAGTAATTTTATGTGGGGTCCAATTTTATCAGTGTTCATTACTTGTGGGCAGTAAATGAGAGCAAAGGAGAAAACAAACACATACAGAAGTGAGTTAAAGAAGCAAACTTGCACACACATGAGGAGGAAGCAGGAGCAAAAGAACGAAGTTCAATCAAAAGCAGAAGCCTGGCCCTCCCTGGTGGCGCAGCGGGTTAAAGCACAGCACTGAGAATCTAAAGCCTCTTCCGCATGAGTTCTATTCCCGCCTGCCCCGGAGGTGACCACTTGGCGTGGCAGACCTCTCCGACCCGCCCGCTGCTCCCCTCAGCAGTGTACTTTGTAGATCTGCCTATTCTGCTCCCCACTCTGTCTCTGGTGAAGCCTCTCGCTGCCCCTGAGCCTCTGGCCTGTACCCCAGTTCTGTATGAACAAATAAATAAATCTTTAAAAAAAAAAAAAAAAAAGCAGAAGCCCTAAGTGGCTCGATCTCTTCATGGAACCCCAAAGTGCAGGCCTGCAAGCAGGTTCATCAATATAGGAATTCCACTATCTTCTCAGGTCTCTCAGGTAACAGTGATAATTCCCCACAATCACTCTGGGGATAACTTTGAAAACAAAGACTGAGTAATCTCAATCCATAACATTTCTCAAAAAAAAAACCTAAGCCTTTTTCTTTTTTTTTTTTTTCAATTGTTAACAGAAGTATATTAACTGCTTCAGGGCCCCCAAAGCTAATAAACTCCCCAAACTCTGGAGCCCCATCTCCTTGTTTTCTGCTCCTTCAGTCCTCTATTTAGGTGGATTCAATTCACCAAATGAATCTCAGGGACCTGAAGAACAAAGCAACTGCCACAAGTGTGGGACAGGACAATCAGGACAACTCCTAACAGCTGCCGTGTTAGGACAGCCAGCTCTCAGCCCAGGGCTTCCCTGAATAGCTCCAATGAAGCAATGTCAGTTCAGGGTCATCTGGTTTATTGAAATAGCTGCAACCAGGCCAACATGAGGGAAAACAGAATTTCCTGAAAGTATAGGAGCAGCCTATTATTTATAACCCAAATCTACCCCCTGTGAAAAGATGACTTAAGAAGAGCTATTTTGGAAACTAATATTTCATCATTACGAAATTTCCTCTGTGACTGTCATGAAGTCAGGGCTGGGTTAACAGTGATGAGTTGTGGAGGTAACTATATACACTCCAAACTTTCTGGTTATGACCTCTTTCTTCTCTATCTCAACTAGGTCTTAAGTGCCTGTCCTCCCATTCCTGAAGTGCCAAAGTCATTTTAAAATGGGATTAGAGGGCCACAACAGGTTAAAGCATAGCACTATGAAGCTATAGCAGCCACTGCAGTAGGGGTTCGATCCCTGGCTAGGGAGGTGACCCACATGGTGTGGCAAACCTCTCCTGGCCCGCCCACTGCTCCCCTCAGTCTGTTCCCTATTCTGTCTCTGGTGAATCCTCTCACTGCCCCTGTACCTCTGGCCTGTACCCCATTTCTATATGCATAAATAAAGATATATTAAAAAAAAAAAAGAAAGGCTCTCTCTGGTGGCACAATAGATTAAAGCAGAGCACAATGAAGCTAGTCACAGAGCCTCAGCACAAGTTCGATCCCCAGCCAGGGAAGTGACCCACATGGCCAGGGAGGTGACATACAGGGTTTAGTAGACCTTTCCTGGCCTACCCACTGCTCCCTTCAGCAGTGTACATCGTCAATCTGCCTGTTCTGTTCCCTAACTCTGTCTCTGGTGAATCCACTCACTGTCCCTGCACCTCTGGCAGTTCTGTGTGCATAAATAAATAAATATTAAAAAAAAAAAACAGAATTAAAAAAAAACAATCGAAACTTTCAAGCTTGATTGGTTATTCAAGATTGCTATAATCTATTTATACCATACTAAGGCTCCCATTTAATTTGATCTGGAAAAGACAGTTTATCATTAATCACTATGGATATTTAAAAATCACATTTATTATATTATAGAAAGTATACATATATATTTCTCATGATTAATTGCTCATTGTTATACTAATTGTTTAGTATAGTGACAATACCTGAATTTAACTGATAGACAATTGTGCCTCTTGATTCTCCGACAATTTCTGGGACTTTTTCATTTCCTGTAGGTTGATAAAAATATTCTGGAAGAGGTGGAACCCACTCTGAAAGAAGATATAAAAAAGTGAAACATTAATAATATCTATCTTTCTTTCTTTCTATCTACCCACCCATCCAGATACATACTACATCACCAAACATATTCTTAGAAAGTAACCTTCCCATTCCATAATCCCAGAAGCATTCTAATGACATACTGGTGTAACTTTTGACTTGAGTGTGTATCACAGCTTAATCATTCCAGGCTGAACTAACAGATGCTGAAGGTATCCTGCCCATACCTTACTATGCAAGACTGAAAATGGTAAAATCTTGTAATTAAATTTGCCCAAATAGCAACCACAACATGCAAGTCACTTTACCAATATGATGAATATTTTCTTTGATGACCTCACATTCTATCGGCCATCTTGGAGCCTGCAGTGGCCCACTGCCAGAGAAAAGGGCAAAAAGATCTCGGGGTTCTCGAAGACGTGGGTTTACTTCACCAAACTCATCATGAAGAGGCTGTCTGCTCTTAAGAGGTGGCGAACTCAGCATAAGGGAATCTGTCAAAGGGAAAGGGAATGAGAGAAAGCTCTTCCTCTTCCTCCTCAGGAACTTTGCTTCTTAGCTCTAACAATTAAGTAACGTTAGGCAGTACATTAAAATACAAAAGGGATGTGTAACTCCATGACGTTTCTTCACTCAAACATAGTGTGGGTCTAAGACACTGCACCAGTGGATTATAAAATGAATACAAAACTAATGTTTTATTATTTTTGTTTAGAGAGAGAGGGACGAGAAAGGGAACATCTAATTCATCCTTTGCATTTTAGTAAAGAGCACATAAGACTATTAACCACAGGGCCTCCCAGGTAGAGCACTATGAATCTATCTATAGCTACTGCAGCATGAGTACAATCTCCCACCAGGGAGCTAATTCACTTGGTACAGCAGGCCTCTCTTGTTTTCCTGCTGCTCCCCTCAGCATACTAGTATGTTTCAGTGAATCTGCTTGTTCTGCTCCCCAATCTGTCTCTGGTGAATCCTCTCATCCCTGCATCTCTGGCCTGTACCCCAGTTTAAATAAATAAATAAATATTTTATGCATATGCATATTTAAATCTTTTCTTTATTATTTAAAAAATATTTATTTATTTATACATACAGAACTGGGGTGCAGGCCAGAGGTACAGGAGCAGTGAGAGGATTCACCAGAGACAGAGTGGGGAGCAGCACAGGCAGATTGACAAAGTACACTGCTGAGCAGAGGGTGGGTCAGAAGAGGTCTGACACACCATGTGGGTCACCTCCAGGGTGGGGGATCAAACTTGCACCGAAGCGGCCACTACCAGCGTGCAGTGCTGAGTCCCAACCCAATGTGCCACCAGGGTGGCCCCAAATAAATACACCTTAAAGAAAATACCTATTAACCACAGTGAAGCCATCTACAATAACAATTTCAAGTTTATAACATACAGCCATTTAAAGTACAGAGAGACTTTAAAAAGAGAGGATGGAAAAGAGAAGGGCAAAGAAGGAGCGAGGGGGGGACAGAGAGGAGTTCTGGGGAAGAGAGAATGAGAAAAAAGGAAGGAGAAGAAAAACTTTCAGGGAGAGAGACAAAGAAAGGAAATGAGAAGAAGTATATATATGTGTGTGTGTGTGTGTGTATTACATATATATAAAGAAATGAAAGTAAGAGGGAAGAAAGGTCCTGGGTGAGTCATTCCTAGCTCTGGGCAGAGAGCAGGAAGGAGTTCGGAGTTTCTGGAGAAGGACAAGGAAGTAGCTCTGTTCACAGCTTTTCTCCGTCTATGCACAGTAAAGATGGACTACTAGACCCTAGGAGGAGCAACGAGGAGGTGTCTTTTGCTGGAGGGATCTTTTTTTTCCTGCTCTTCTTTCTTCCCTTTCTACCCCCGTCTCCCCAACTCTGCTTTATCTCTCTGCATTTCCATCTCTAAATCTCCCCATTGCTTAGCAAGAGATTAAAGAATAGGCAATAGCTATTTGAAAAGATGGTAAAGCTGTTCCATTGTAGTCACAACTCTAAGAAATGTAAGTCAAATGACAGTAAGATACAGTTTTTTAACTAATAGGCAAGAAAACACATTCACATTTTCACACTTACCCTGGCAAAGGTGTAAGCTAACAGGTACACTCAGAACCTGCTAGGCCCAAACTTTCTGGAAAGCAATTGGCGGTATCATGTTTTAGACTGAAAACATGCATACCCTTGATTGTCAGTCCCATTGTAAATAATTACCTTATGAATTTTTACCTCAAAGCTCATCATATTACATCTAGGAGGAGACTCAGTGCTTGTTCATGTCTGTTGCCCAATTTTCTATTTGGTCATTTTCCACTTATTAATTTCTAAGAGCTGTTACACTATGGGTATTAACTCTTTGGTTTGTCACACTTTCTCCCTTGCATCCCCTTTTTTTCCTTTATGTTCCTAATAATAATATTTTATATGCAAAGCAATTATTATTTTTTTTAGCTTTTTTTTTTTTCTGTAAAATGATCACTGTCTTATGGCTTTTGGATCTGTGTCATTCTAAGGTTTCAAGCAGCAAAGGGATGCAATCAGGTTTACATGGCAAAAGAACACAACTTTATGGGAAATGCCCTGGGAGAGGGCAGTGTGGAGCAAGAAAAGCAGCCAGGAGACTGGTATTGAGACTGTTTGAATAGTGAGAAATGATGGTAGCTTGAATGGGGAGAGGGGAAGAGAAAAGAGAAGTGGATTGATGCTTGGTTAGTTATGTCCTGGGAGCATTCTTGTCCTTAGGTTCCAGAAGAACCTTGTGTCCCCGTGAGAAATCATTTTGCTTATGCTTGTTGGAATTAGTTTCCTATATGAGTCTTAAACCATATGAAAAATCACTGTGTGCTACTGGTGACTAAAAAGCCTTGATGAATTTTCTGACAAGATGGAGGAAGGTAATCTAGAATATTTGGTATTTCAGTTTTACAATCCTAAGTAGTTTAGACAGAACAGTTTTGAGTGACGTTGATTTCTTGGCATCTCCCACATTAGGCCAGCTCTCCTGAACTCACCTGTAGGAGTTGCTTGGGACTGTGAGGGTTCTGGGGTCACATACACTGATTACTCACAAAGAAGCTTCTCCTTTTGCAGGGGGTCTGGTAACAGGTCATCCCTGTCCCTGAAAGAGCCGCTCATCAGGTATCGAGCACTATTCTTCCAAACATGCTGACTCTTAGCAGAATTTGGTAAACTGCTTCTCTGTGCTAAGAAGAAGAAATTTAATGGAAGTTGCTGAGAGGCTGACTCATCACTACTTCCAACCTCAAGGTCTACCCCAAAAGTGCTACAACTCAGATGACCAGGATGTTTGTCACCACAAACCACTGATGGTCTTCACAAGAAACACAAAATGCTTTCACATACTAATGCATGTGAGTTAAACATTACTTTCTAAATTTTACAGTGAGGAGACTTGAGAAGCAGTATGCTACAATGGACAGAAAAAGGGTTTGGGAGGCAGAAAGACCTTCTAGTTATGAAAGCACCCAGCACCCAGGAGAGTTACCATCAAGCGAAGGCAGGGACTCAGAATGGGAACCCTGAAGCCAGGGACCTCTGCTAACCTCGCAAACTGGAAATCTGATGTTCAACAAATGAGTAATCGCTTACAAGTGAGCAAGTTAAGAAGGTTGATAGAAATAAAATCAATGTAAAAATCTTAATTTTATTTCTAAATACCAGGAACATCAGAAAATCAAAATTTAAAAAGGGTAATGTATGTGTGTATATATTATATATATA